TGAAGAAGGGTCTAGGCCCGAAATGTCAGCTTTCCTGCTCCTCTGATGCTGTTTGGCCTGCTGTGTTCATCCAGCTCTATACCTTGTTATATCAGCATATATGAGTAAGAAGGGTTTAGAGGGATATGGGCCAAATGCTGGAAAATGGGATTGGGTCAGATTGGGACGTCTGGTCAGTGTGGCCAAGTTGGACCGAAGGTTCTGTTTCCAAGCTGTATAACTCTTGTGACTCCTAAGTGTTGCTGTTAAGTTCAAGCCTGTGATTTCCCCTGATCCCAGAAAATAATATTCTGTGCCAGGTTAATCTTGTAAGTTTTAGTCAGGTGTCCTTTTATTTTTCTGCTCTGGACTCACATTGCTTTAATATTTGTCAAATTGTTTATTGCAGGGAATGTGGTAACACTGTTACAGTCACTGTACTTCGAAATACCTCAGTGAGTACAATCTTTCTACTTTAAAAAGCAGAGCTTTCAATGCTACTCATGGTCATCAGGACAAATTTCCTCCTGGGCTTCTCTCTGATTGCTATCAATCCACGTTTGTGCATCACTTGGTTGCAGTCCAGAAGAGATTCACCCTACGTGATTCACCCTACGTGATTCACCCTACGTGATTCAGATTCGGTCACTAAATACTTTAGTCTGGCACTTGCACAGGCATTTTGAATGACATGACATTCCTCTCAGCTCAGATGTGATGGATCGAAAGCTAAGATGGGTGCTGTAATCAATGGAGATGGCCTACTGGTATTATCGCTGGACTGTTAATCCAGCAACCCAGCTAACATTCTGGGGACCTGGGTTTGAATCCAGCCACGGCAGATGGTGGAATTTGAATTCAATAAATATCTGGAATTAAGAATCTAATGATGACCATGAATCCATTGTCGATTGTTGGAAAAACCCATCTGGTTCACTAATGTCCTTTAGGGAAGGAAACTGCCATCCTCACCTGGTCTGGTCTATATGTGACTCCAGACCCACAGCAATGTGGTTGACTCTGAACTGCCCTTTGGGCAATTAGGGATGGGCAATAAATGCTGCCTAGTCAGCGACGCCCTCATCCCATGAATGAATAAAAAAAAATCCAGGGTGGACATGTGATCTTGGTCATAGGAAAAGGAGTAGGCTATTTGTCCTGTTCCTTCAGTCAGAGAGATCATGACTGAGCTGTTCCTCCTCTTTATTTCCTCATTGTTGCTGAGTATTCCTTATCTAATAAAAATTATCAAGCCAAGTCTTGGAAGCTTCAATTGACCCTGCTTCCTTAGCATTTAGAGGACCAGATGTCTTGAAGTAAGCTGGCAGCAAGCTACCTGAGTCAAAATGGGATTGTGCTTTATGTTCAATTAACACTTGATGGGGTTCGATGAGATTATACATTGATCCAGATATGATGCAAATTCGACCAGGTCATGTCAAAAGCATTTGATTCGTGCTTCTTCTGTGATGTGTTATCAAGCTACACAATCAAAGAAGTTTCCAGGCATTATGTAGGATACAAATGAAGATTTGATCATTAACGGCAGTGTATCCTGAAGTGGAGCAACAATAGTCAACTAGACCTCTGGCTCTCTCTAACTAACTAGAAGTCCGTGCTATGACAGGATATTGGATGAGCTTCAGTGCAAGACTGAGGCAAGCAGTGCACTTTTAGAGTTGAATTGTTAAACCAAAATGTCATGTTCTGTTTCAGATGAGTACAAAAGGTCAAGTGGCGCAATTTGAATGGTTTATTGCAAGGGGAATTGATTACAAGAGTAGGGAGATTATGCATCAGTTATACAGGGCATTGGTGAGACCTCATCTGGAGTACTGTATATAGGCTAGGCCTGTATCCTGTGGAGTTTTGAAGAGTTAGAGCTGACTTAGTTAAAACATGTAAGATCTTGGGAGGACTTGAATGAGCACATGTTGAAAGGATTCACGTTTCCTCTGCGAGAGAATCTGAGAACTAGAGATCGTTTTTTTAAAATAAGGAGGCACCCAGTTAGAACAGAGACAAGGAAACCCTTTTTCTGTCAGAGAGTTGTGAGTTTTTAGAACTCAAAAAGCAGTGGATGCAGAATCTTTAAATTTTTTAAGGCAGAGATAGATAGATTCTTGATGACTGAAGGGGTGAAAGATTATCAGGGAGATGCAGGAATGTAGAGTTGAGGTTAAAATCAGATCAGCTACAGTCTTTATTGGATAGCAAAGGAGGTTTGAAAACCTACTCTCATTCCTTGTTTGCATGTTCATATTTTAGGTTACAATCAAACTTCTGGAACTCAGAACATCAGTACCACCATACATTATCAACACAAAACGCCAATGCTATTGTTTAAATGTCATGGTTTCTGTTTGTATTCAGGGGCCCAAGTCATCATTTATTACTGAAGAAAAGCGAGCCAGACTGAAAAGTAACCCAGTCAAAGTACGCTTTGCTGAAGAAGTGATTGTCAATGGCCACACGCAGGTTTGTGCCTTCCACATGCATTTAGCTCATTGACCACTTCAACCAGATTATAACTAACCTGATGGACTCCCAGTATGGTCTGGACTGGGTAACTTTTATTTTTTCATAAAACATTGGATGCCTAATTGGCTTTATGTGCCCTGAAGGCCTGAAAATAAGTTTGATTGTGGCGAGCATTAGTGAAACTTGAGTCCCGTACTAATGTTCTGGAGTTGAACAAAGGTAATTACATGGGCAAAAGGGCAGATTTGGCCCTAGGGGACTGGGCAGAAAGACTGAAATGTAGGACTGTTGATGAACCTTTAAAGAGATACTTAATTCCTCCCAACTAAAATATATTATAGAGAAGAAGGAAAGCATGTAAGAAGGATAAAAACATCCATTGCTGAGCAAGGAAGTTAAAGATAACATAAGGCCAAAAACTAAGGCATGCCAAACTGCAAAGGTCAGAAGGATTGGGAAACCTTTAAAGATCAACAAAGGGTCACTAAAAAGTAATAAAAAGAACAAAGGTTAGTTATGAAAGAAAACTAGTACAAAATATAAAAGACTCGATAAGTATATAAAAGGATGACAGTAGCTAAAATGAATGTTGGTCCTTTTGAGATTAGGAGTTAATAGTGGGGAGCACAGAGTTGGCAGAGACGCCAAATCATTATTTTGCTTCAGTTTTCAAAGTGGAAGACACATAAATCATCCCAGTAGTAACAAGTAATGCAGAGATTATGGAAAAGGTAGAATTTATAGCAATTGCTATCACTAGGGAAAAGATTCTGAGCAAACTATTGGGATTAAAGGCAGGCAAATCCGCATAGGGCAATACCCTATGGTCTTAAAGGAAGTGACAGCAGAGATAGTGGACGCGTTGATTACAGTATTCCAAAATTCCCTGGCTTCTGGAAAGGTTCTAGTGGATTAGAAAATTGCTAATGTAAAGCAGTAGTTCAAAAAGGGAGGGAGGTAGAAAGTAGGAAACCACAGACCAGTTAGTTTAACGTCTGTCATTGGGAAATCGTTAGAATCCATTAATAAGTAGTAACAGGACATGTGGCAAGTAAAACGCAACCCACCAGAGCCAGCACGGTTTTATCAAGAGTAATTCATGCTCTTTATGAAGAGTAATTCATGTAATTTGCTAGAGCTCTTTGAAGATGTAACAAGCAAAGTAAATAATGGGTGTCCTGTAGATGTAGTATATCTGGACTTCTGGAAAGCATTTGATAAGGTGCCGCAATAACTAGTCTGTAGTTTCCTACTTTCTGCTTTGTTCCAGCCAATTTAGAACTGGAAGGACCCCTGTCTGTCTTCCCCATAAGTTTACAAAAAATAGTTTGTGCTCCATACATGGCTGGACATTAGATCCCCTGATACCTTGTACCATGGTGCCAACTGCCATTAATGCCACTACTTTTTTGGATGTCCAGATCATGATTTAGTCCCCACCCACCAGCCACATTTTGGGGACTACGTTCACTCACCTGAAGTAGTTGTATGTCCTTCATTAGATCTACCAACTCTAGACCTAACGCAAAGCCCTTATTAAGGCTAGAAATCTGGAACTTCAGGCACAAGAAGCACCCCATCCCAACCCCACCCTGGATTCCTGATCTTCAGTGTTTTCCCCTCCAAACTTTGTTTGGACTGGCCTCTAGACAAAACCAAAATACCTATGGCTCTGATGGAGCTTTTTTTGGTTGTTTAATCAGACTCCCAAAGGAATGGCTGAGTATTTCTATGGATTTGTGTGTGTGAATAAACTTTGGAACAAAATAACAGCAAGAACTTCATGAATACCTGGAGAGATTGGATCTGAAACTCCAGGAGAAACATTGGAGGCAAACTGTAGAGAATACAACAACACAGACACATACATACAAACAGACAGACAGACACACAGACATAGGCGCGTGCACGCACGCACGCACACACACACAAAGACACACAAACACAGGCACATAGAAATATACACACACAGACACAGATACACACACATACAGTCTCAACCACACATTCACATGCATGCACACACAAACACGCACACACAGAATGCAAGCACCCAGACAGACAGACACACACACAAACACACCCACATATATATGTATTTTATGTATACGCATAACAAACTCTCTCTCTCTACTGTCCCCCATTTTAGTATTTGTACCAAAGTTAATGAAGAGTGTATTATGTTGTTATTTTGCTTATCTATTTTCATAAGAAATCCTAGAATTTTGTGTTTTATCATTCCCACAGGGTAACTCACTTCTTTTCATGCCCAGTGTTCTCAAGGTGTATTTGGAAAATGGACAGACCAAAGCCTTTCGATATGAGAAAAATACAACGGTGAAGGTAATGATGGTTACAGGTTTTGTTTGTTCCTTGCTGTGAATTTTCCCTTTTGTTGATTTTGCCCAGTTTTGAAACTCCTATTAATTAATTTTATGCATTTACTGGGGAGTTGGGGGTGCGGGGTAGGGATGGGCTGGGGGTGAATGGGGGTTGTGGAAGCGGGTTGGGGAGTGGCAATGGGTTGGGGTTTGCGGAGTAAATGAATGAAAAATCTTAGTCCAGTTGCCAATAGATCTAGCAGATACTAAAACCTTTAAGTTGTGTCATTTGCTCAAGTAGCATTAGTGACACAGATGTAGGAGAGAGATACTGGTAGTGACTTTTAGTTTTGTGTTACCTGCTCCTATATAACTAAAAATCAAATGCAAACCATTCATTCCTGTCTACGAACATTACTTCCCATTGTTACAATTTTTGGTTATGCTTTGTTAACTCTGAACGTCGTAAATTGTTACATCAACATTCCCATTCAAAAGCCACAATGTTTTTACGAGCTGTGACCATTAAGTGATCCCAGGGATATATTTCACTCAATATAATGTGTAGTAAAGACTCAGGTTTATTATCTAACCATGGACAATCTAGTATTCATTAATATAAATAACAGTGAGATTGAATTGGATTTATCATGCTGGTAAAAGTTAGATTCAGCAAATCTACCCTCCCTTTCAGCAGAGGTCTCCTCTGAGAGCACTGGTGAGACATAAACATCCAGTGAATGACTTGTTTTAAATTCAATGACCTGGCCATTTGACTGAAATGAGTTAGATTGTTCTTTTATCTTGTTATTGTAGATCATACAATCATGGAGATATATAATGTAGAAACAGACCCTTGGGTCCAACTCGTCCATGCTGACCTGATATCCTAATCTGACCTAATCCCATTTGCCAGCATTTGGCCCATATCCATCTAAACCCTTCCTATTCATGTACCCATCATCCTATTCATGTATTCATTGTACCAGTCTCCACCACTTCCTCTGTCAGCTCATTCCATTTACACACCACCCTCTGCATGAAAAAGTTGCCCCTTAGGTCCCTTTTAAATCTTTCCCCTCTCATCTTAAACCTATGCTACCTAGTTTTGAACTCCCCCCACCCTGCGGAAAAGACTTTGCCTATTCATCCTATCCATGCTCCTCATGATTTTATAAACCTCTATAAGGTCACCCCTCAGCCTCCGACGCTCCAGGGAAAAATAGCCCCAGCCTATTCAGCCTCTCCCTATAGCTCAAACCGTCCAATCTCAGCAACATCCTTTTAAATATTTTCTGAACCCTTTCAGATTTAGCAACAATAGGAGGGAGATCAGAATTGTATGCAGTATTCTAAAAGTGGCCTCATGAATGTCCCGTACAACTGCAACATGACCTCCCAATTCCTATACTCAATGCACTGACCAATAAAGGCAAGAATACCAAACATCTTCTTCACCATCCTGTCTACCTGTGACTCCACTTTCAAGGATATATACCCTGCATTCCTAAGTCTAAGACAACACTCCCCAGGACGGTACCATTATGTATATAAGTCCTGCCCTGATTTGCCTTACCAAAAAGCAGCACCTCACATTTATCTAAATTAAACTCCATCTGCCACTCCTCGGCCCATTGACCCGTCTGATTAAGATCCCGTTGTACTCTGAGGTAATATCCTTCACTGTCTCCAATTTTTTTTCACTAACATCCTGTCTTGCCCGGTGCAATCTCCATATTGTCATTTAACCTCTCCTGCCTTCCATCATAAACCTTCTCTTTTGTTCTTTCACCATTCACTGCTTTCTGTCTTCAATACTCATTTCAAACTGTTACATCTCCAACTCTCTGTCATTCCAAAGAACACTCGTTGTTAATGCTGTTTCTATCTCTATATCCTGCTTAGTATTTCCAGCTTTTTCTATTTTTTATCTCAGATTCTCAGTATCTGCAGTATTTCCCTTTAATATTCTGACCTGCCCGTTACATTTAAATTGATTTTTCTTAACAACGCCAAAGTCAACAAACTGGGTTTATAGAGTGTATTTATCAAGTGTTTCACAGGATAGTTATGAAACAAAAATTAACACAGATCGTATAAAGAGATTTTAGGACAGATGATAAAACTCTTGATGAAAGAGGTAGGTTTTAGATTGTGTTTTAAAGGAGGAAAGAGGAGTGGAAAAGCAGAAGGATTTATGAAAGGGAACTCCTGAGCTTGGCTATCAATGATGGAATGTTTGAAGTCAGGGAGTTGAATGAGGCCAGAATTTGAAGAACACAGATATCTTGGAGAATGGTAGGGCTGGAGGACACACAGAAATAGGGATGGTCAAGAAAATGGAGGGATTTGAAATGAAGGATAAAAGTCGAGCCAACGTACACCAAAGTGACGGGCTAAGGGTAAACAGGAACTTGTAAGTTAAGTGCAGGCAATAGATTTTTGCATGAGCTAATGTCTCCGAAGGGTAGGAGTTAGGAGGCTGACAGGAATTCAAATCTAGAGATAATTAAAACCACAAATGAGGGTTCCAGCAACAGATGAACTGTGGATGGAGTCAGACAATGCTGGATATAGGCAGTCTGCGTGACAATGTGGATTTGTGGTAAAATATCTGGTCAAATGTGGCACCCAGGTTTCAAAATCTAGTTCAGCCGCAGGTAGTTGACCAGGAGAGAGATGGAATTGGTAACTAGAGAACAGAGTTCACAGCAGGGTTTGACAATAGTAGCTTTAGTCTTCCTGGTATTCAGTTAGAAGAAATTTCTGCTCATCGGTACTGGATGTCAGTTCCAGGGTCTCACAGTCTGAAAACATTGGAAGTTGGAAGGGAATCATAGTTCAATCCTTTCTTTGAGAATTTAATTTGGTTTTAAACTGCAAGAGCAAGAATTGATTATGCTGTAGCCATCTGCTAATCAGTGAAGTGAGCTAACATTGAGGTACAATACTGGCTACATTTCAAAAGTAGCTCTTTGGCATTAAAGCACTTTGGAACAAAATGATGAAAATGTGTTGTTTGAATGCTATTTTTTAATGCATTTGAGCAGTACCACAAAAGCATCTGAACATTCAGAATAGCAAACAAAACATAGAACAAAATTTATTGATATGGAGGGAGGGTTGCTGGTCAACACTTCATTTTTAATGTGATTTTGAAGGTAATATCCAATGACTTGTTATTTCACTGCATAATGGATGAGAGCATTTATCCGCTAAAGGTTTTGAATGGCCAAATTCTGCAGTGAACTCATTCTTGTCAAGATTCATGTATGATAACTGAAGTTAGTCAATTCCAAAAATGCTTTTCCATCTTTGCAAGTTAATGTATCCAGCAATTAAAAAAAGCTTTCAAAAGCTTTTAGACATTGACAGAACAGGACAGACAATGGATGTTGGAAAGGGAAGCAAGAACAACTGGTAATCACAAAGGGCTCTGTACTGCCAAAGGCAGAGGTACTGGAAGATACATTACCCTACCCCCAGAAAGGTATAGTATTTGGGAGAGTTAGACCTGGAGAAATACTTTATGCTTGGTCACCAATTAAGTTCTAGACAAGAAGGTCCATGGGCAAACTTCTCAATCTGCTATCAATTAAGGTCTTAAGTGATCAATTAATGGTCACTGAAGAGCCTCACATGACCACCTTTAACATCTCTCCATTTACATTCCTCCTCAGCAAGAGAGGTGGTTTCCCTGGAAAACCAGGGTGACCTGCCTGCGTGGTTAGGGGGTAGAGCTCCAAATGGCCCAAACTGCATCTGCCTCTGAGTGCACTGACCAACCCGCATCACTTTCCCATACCGTGACAAGAAAATAAAGGAGACTTGCACAATTGCTGCTGGATCTCATGAGGAGTAGGCCTTGCCTTACTTTAGGACACAAAAGCAGCCAACCTCTGATTGACAGGCAGTTTCTGACCAGCATTAAGGCCTTTGAAGAGCCAAGCTAACCAGGCAGCTCTTGTTGTTTGCTCAGCCAAAGTGAGGTGGCTACATTAATCACCACCTAAAGACAGTTGTCACACACTGTGAAAAAAACAGGAACTTCATGCCCACTGCGTCGATATATTAAAGGCCAGGATTGTGGATAATTCATAAGTTTGAACAATTTATGGAATAAGGGATGTGGAGAGTGGGTGGAGAAGGGGGTTTCCCACAGCAGATGGAGTGGGGGATGTAGACCTTGAATAGAACAGGGACTGCAAGCTTCTGATATCACACTGAGTTGGACAGTGAGTAAGGTAGGATGTTAAGGATGATTTAACACCATTTCCTTCTTGGTTCTGCGAAGTGCTTATAATCACTTGGCCTTAGGAGTCTTCTTAGATCATAAGAACATAAGGAGGAGTAGGCCATTCAGCCCTTCAGGTCCGTCCTGCCATGATACAAGATCATGGCTAATCTTCTCCAGCCCTCAACTCCTGTCTCATGCTTACTTCTCAATATTTTAAATATCTACCTGGTGCTTCTTGAAATACTTCAGTGATCTCACCTCCACAATTCTTTGGGATTGAGAATTCAGACATTCATTACCCTCTGGGAAAATAAATTCTTTTGCATTTCACTCTGTAGCTATGTCCCCGTAATTCGAAACTCCCCCATGATTGGAAACATCTTCTCAATATCTACCCTGTCATGGCCCCTCAGAATCCTATATGTATCAATCAGATTACCCCTCATTCTTCTACAGTCTGATGAATAAAGGCTGAACCTGTTTAGCCGTTCTTGAAAAGTCAACTCCATTGTGCAAGCCTGTAGCAGAGGAGTATTGCATGAATGGAAGCTGGGGATAGTTAATAAGACCATATATCCTCAATGGGAAATTAAGAAGGACAATCAGAAATTAATTTTGCCCCTTTTTTCTGCAATTTGACAGGATATCATCCTCACCCTGAAGTCGAAGTTGTCCATTCGTTGTATTGAACATTTTGCTCTTGTTTTGAAGGAACGGTACAGTATCACCAAGGTTTATCTCTTACACGATGATGAAATCATTGAGCAGGTACGTTGGGGTTTCTTTGCACTAAGGGAATGAGGGAATGATAGCCAGGAAATTTTGCAAGCTTTTAAGTAGACAACTAAAGTTACCCACATCTACTTCTATGTCTAACCCTTAGTCACGGTCTATATCTGTTGAATTTGTAATCTAACATTCAATTGTTGTCCAGGTCTAGCATTTTTAAAACAATTTGTTCCATCTGCAGAAGCCTAAAGAAATGTTCTATTTTTGGAGGCTTTGTAAGTGGAATCTGTACATAGCGGCATCTGTTGTCGTCATCAAAATCTGGTGTGGGAATGTTGATCAATATTAGAAAACATAGGAGTGAAGAGGATATCTCTCTACATGACCTGTGATATTTTCTGGTAATCACTTTTCTGGGAAGGCAAATAGTATGTTTGCTTTGGATAAAAATATGGATTGGATGTAGGAGCCAAACAGTCTTCTCACAACTGTTATAGGACATTAGTAAGATCGCACCTAGACAATTGTGTACAGTTTGGTCAAGTTACCTAAGGAAGGATGTAACTGCAGAAGAGGGAGTGTGACCAGTCAGACTGGTTCATGGAATGAGGTGATTGTCCTGTGTGGGGAGGTTGAGTAGATGAGTCCAGTGTTTCCTGGAGTTCAGAAGAATGTGAAGAGATATAATGGAAACTTTATGCCTCATGGATTTTATGCGCCGTGTCATATAAAATATGACAAGTGGCTAGCCCATTGCCTTCCTGTCCATTCTAACCTGCTCCCGATAAAATAAGAGTTGGTGGGCCAGTGCCAACATCAGCAACTGGGCTGTAATTTTAAAAAGAAATTAACAGATAATTGGAATTGTTAACTTCACCTAAATATTACATTGGCGATGCCATAATATTCTTGGCATGGGTAAGTGGGTTGGCCCTTTCTTTAAGCAGACTGCTTAAAAAGTGGGAAGAAAGAGAGTGGCGGTCCATCCTTTGCAGGGTGCCCTGTATGCATCGGGAACTTGGATGTTACTCCCTACTTTTGTAAGTTCCCACAAGGCTGGTGAATCTAGAACATAGGGTCACACCCTCAGAATGAGACGCTGCCCATGTAGGACTGAGATAGAGGGAAATGTCTTGAGTTGTGAATCTTTGGAATGCTGTACTCTGGAGAGCTGTGGATGGTCAGATATCGAGCCTGTTCAAGGTAGAGGGTGGTAGATTTTTGTGTTCTAAGAGAACTAAGGGATATGGAGATAGTTTGGGATGGTGGACTTAAGGTACATGGTTAGTCCTAATTTTGTTGAGTGGTGGAGCTGGACAGAAAGACCAAATGGCACGTCCAAGTTCTTATTGCTTATGTTTCTGTTCAATTGTAATTCTGTTCAACTGCAAAATGTGTGTGGAAATTGATTCAACGTTGAAATAACAACAGGTTTTAGTGACACTACTAAAAATAGCATTGCAATGAAAGTAATTAAAGAGCACACAATATCATGGGGATTAGGCTTCATTGGACAAGGGGGAAATCTAGGCTGTTATCAGCAAATTTATCCAGAGATGCGTCACTCCTCTGCATCATAACAGCACCCAATGAGAAATGCTTCTGGTTAAAACATAAGCTTAAAGAAAATGATTTGTTGATTATTTCCGTGGTGTGACAATGAGAAATTAATTCCGAACATAAACGTTTTCTACCTTGTCACAGGTAGTCCAGAAGCGGGAGCCCCGTGACTATAGATGTCTCTTCAGGGTTTGTTTCCTGCCAAGAGATCCACTCGTACTTTTACAAGAAGATCCAGTTGCCTTTGAATACCTATACTCACAGGTACCTATTTGACATGAAGGGTCAGAGTAAGCTTCTTTAGAAAAATTTTGACCAACCACAGCTAAATACTTCAGTTTCTTAAGAACACTAAAGCCACAAGAAGTAGTCTACACTTAACCTGGAGTAGATTCAAAACTAATGTGCTGAAGCACGTTAGGGGAGGCGATGACCTAGGGGTATTATCAGCGGATCATTAATCCATAGAACCCAGCTAATGTTCTAGGGGCCCAGGTCCGAATCCTGCCATGGCAGATAGTGGAATTTGAATTTTAAACAATCTGGAATTAAGAATCTAATGTCGATTGTTGGAAAAACTCACCTGGTTCACTAATGTCCTTTGGGGAAGGAAACTGGCTACATGTGGATGCAGACCCTCAGCTATGTGGTTAACTCTTAAACTGCCCTCTGGAAAATTAGGGATTGCCAGTAAATTCTGGCTTGGCCAGCAATGCCCTCATCCCATAAATGAATAAAACAAATATTTCAGCAAGGAAGTGTAGGGTAGATACCCCTGAGGGAATGAGTGAAGCAGCTTGTGTTGGGCAATTCATGTAAAAATTACATGGATTACTTCCAGAAAATAGCAACTTAAAATATGTTATATACACATGACATTTGGTAAGTGTGGCATGAGTGACCTTGGGTCTGCCCAAGTGCCCACCTCCAGGGGTATTACACACTTTATGCCTGTGTCTGTTGTAGATTAATTTTTGAGATGAATTACTATGTTTAGTTAATAGTAACATTATCATTGTATAATTGGTCTATTAAGATTGTAGAAGATGAACTAGATGGACTTGATTTTTGTATGTCTAGCAATTTCAGTATTTGTATAATGTTCTGTATTCATGATCAAAATTATAGTTGATTTATGGGGAGTAGTAATTTGAGTTGTGTAGTGCCTAGGAAAGGTGGGATAGTTCTCTGTGGAGCAGAGAAGATTAAGGGGAGATTTAACAGAGGTGTCTATAAATATGAGGAGTTTTGATAGAGTAAATGAAAACAAACTGGTTTCACCATTTTCACTGTGGTTATTAACCAGAAAGCAGAGGGTTCAGGTAATGGAACTGTGGACAGATGAGCAATGTTCCCTCTCGGAGGTCTTGCAGATGTCACTCACTTCCAGTTCCAGAAAATATTATATGTATCTCAGGGCCCCACGCAGCAGCAGAACAATTTAAGGGCAAGGAGGTGAAAATTTTTTTAAATTCAGTGCATTATGATCTGAGATTCACTGCCTGAAAGAACGGTGGATGTAGGTTTGACATGACATTCAACCTGTTCCTTTTTTTTTACTTAACCCATTGGATGAGGACATTGCTGGCTAGGCTTGCATTTGTTACCCATCCCTAATTGCCCAGAGGGCAGTTAAAAGTCAACCACATTGCTGTGGGTCTGGAGTCACATGTAGGCCAGACCAGGTAAGGATGGCAGCTTCGTTCCCCAAAGGACATTAGTGAACCAGATGGGTTTTTCACCAATAATGGCTCATGGTCATCATTAGACTCTTGAGTCCGATTTTTGTTGCAATCAGATTCCACCATCTGCTATGGCAGGATTCAGACCAGGTCCCCAGAACATTACCTCAGTCTCTGGATTAACAGTCCAGTGATAATATCACTAGGCCATCACCTCCCCTTGAGATGTTATTACATACCTCTGGAGCAGGTGGGGCTTGGAGCCTGAACTCCTAGCTCAGAGGAAAGGATGTTGCCACTGTACCAAAGGAGCCTTTGATTAGTATATTTACTTGTAAAGGAAATGTGTAGAGCTGCAATGATAGAACAAGGGAGTTGGTTCATTGGACAGATCTTTCAAAGAACCAGAAGAAACACAATGTACTTGTGATGCCAAGGCAAGTGCTGGAAAATGGTTCCGAATAGTTAGGTGGTTGTTTCTGACCAGCACAGACTTGATTGGCCAAAGGATATTTTCTATTGTATACTTCTGTAATTTTATATGAAAGCATTTATAAATGGTGGCAATTTGTTTAGATATTTTCTAGACAGCTGTGTGTGATGCCTTTAGTAATCTCTTTTACAGAGTTGCAATGATGTGCTGCAGGAGAAGTTTGCGATGGAGATGAAATGCAACACTGCTATCCGTCTTGCAGCGCTGCAAATTCAGGAATGCATCCTGAGCTCCAAGCAGTCTCAGAAAGTCTCCATGAAGTACATTGAGTGAGTCAGTATATTTGGAAGATTGAACTGTGCAATGCTTCAGCTGCACTTCACACAGATATGTTCACATTGCACTATATTGCCTTATTGATAGCAAGACCCCTGTTTCATAACCCATCTCATTAGTGAGACACTTTATTAGTGAGCTGCCTAATTGGCATTAGGGTGATCCTTCATTAGCTAGTCTTCTTGTATTTGAAACTCCTTATTAATGAGATTCTTTATTAGTGAGTTTCCTTGATTCATTGTTAATGAGATTCTTGTTTGGAGGAACTTGCTGTTAGTGAGGCTTTGTTTGCATGAGCTTGGAAGCTAGACCCTTCATTAAAGAGACTCCTTGTTAACAGCAATTAGTGTTTGTGAAACTGCTAGTTAGAGGAACATCTCAATTATGAGTTATTTCACTAACATGTCATAGAATTACCTCTTTAATTGGGATTAACCCTAGATTCTCATATTTAACCCTCTGTACTTGAAGACCTCCTCCTTGGCACTCAGTAGTTCTTTACATTTCATCCAGATCTGATTGCTAATTGGGATGGGAAAAGAAGTCAACTTAGCTTCAAATTTTTCTGACACAAAAACAGGCCCAGACAACTTTTACTCCCAGACCCTATCAATGTGACCTGTATACCCAAAACAAGGTAAGGGAGGGTCTAGGCCCGAAACGTCAGCCTTCCTGCTCCTCTGATGCTGCTTGGCCTGCTGTGTTCATCCAGCTCTACACCTTGTTATCTAATATTCTGGGGACCCAGGTTCAAATCCTGGTAGATGGTGGAATTTGAATTCAATAAATATCTGGAATTAAGAGTCTAATGATGACCATGAATCCATTGTTGATTCATGGCAAAAGCTCATCTGGTTCACTAATGTCCTTCAGGGAAAAAATCTGCCATCTTTACCTGGTCTGGCCTACATGTGACTCCTGACCCATAGCAATGTGTTGACTCTTAACTGCCATCTGGGCAATTAGGGATGGGCAACAAATGCTGCCTGGCCAGTGATGCCCTCATCCCATGAATGAATAAATTTTTTTAAACAGTCCACTGATGTTAAGCAGAAATGCAATTTTTGGTGACATTCTTCCTGGGAAACCAAGGAAAGTTTAAATAAAAATTGAAGAAGTGTAGGATATTTTTAGCCAATATTTATTGCTTATAAAAATTACTCAGACAGGTTGTCTGTTCACATTACTGTGTGTCGGACATTGCTGTGTTTCTTTTATCATGACAGTGACCACATTTTAAAAGCACTTTATTAGTTACAAAGGATTTGGGGATGTCCCGAGGTTGAGAATCATAAACAACAGTCCCTGATTTCTAAACGTCCAACTAAAGAATGCTTGCACTTAACGAACACGATCCCATACATGATTATAATTTTAAAGACCAGACATCCGAACGTTTCCTGTACTTATGAATGGCTGCTTTGCGTTGTCCTGCATTGTGTTCTGCCTTGTGTACAAATCGACTTGCAAACAGACTCCAGAACAGAACCCAAACACGACCCAGACACGCCCTATACTGGAAATTGTTATGGCAACTGCCACAATGCATTTGCAGTCTCAGATCACCAGGTGGCTCTATGAGGTAAGGTTCTTTGTTCCAACTCCACCATCATTGTGAATAAAACGCTAATGTTAATTAATTGAACATGGAACTTTTAAAAAAAAACTCATGGGTTGATCATGGGTGACGCTGGCTGCCCCAACATTTATTGCCTGTCCCTAGTTGCCCTTGAGAAGGTGGTGACGAACTGCCATCTTGAACCACTGTAGTCCATGTGCTCTGGGTTTACCCACAATGCCCTTAGGGAGGGAATTCCAGGATTTTGACCCAGCGGCAGTGAAGGAACGGTGATATATTTCCCAGTCAGGATGGTGAGTGGGGTAATAAATCTTACAAGTTTATTTTCATTGTCATAAACGTCATAGCTCTTTCAGGAGCCAGTACAGACACGATGGGTCAAATGGCCTCCTTGTGTACTGTAAAATTCTGTGATTCTAAATTAAATAGTTTTAAATGCAATTTTATTATTTTCAGGAAGGATTGGGGAATTGAGAATTTTGTCTCACCAACTCTGCTTCACAACATGAGGGAGAAAGATATCAGAAAGGCCATTAACTATCATCTTAAGAACAATCATAGCTTGATTGCACCAGGACAAAAGGTAATTCTTTATCGTGAACTATCCAGAGGTAAAAGTGTTTTTTTTTAAATTTAATCTTTACTGCCTTCCAGCCAATCACAGATGCTCTTTCCTCACCAACTTTTGAGTTTTTTCATTACTTGTTTCAATACTGTTACATCTCAAAACACTGTCAGTTCTGACAAAGTATTCACTATGTTAACTGTATTCTTCCTTTCAGACATGCCACCAGACTTGCTGAATATTTTCAGCCTCTTCTGGTGTCTATTTCAGATTTCCAACTTTCACGGTCGTTTGCTGTTTTAAAAAATCGTTCTGTTGCGTCAGCCGTGACTCAGTGTGTAGCGCATTCGCCATTGGGTCAAAACATTGTGAATCCTGTCCAGTTCTGGAGACTTGAGCACAAATAACTTGGTTGATGTTGCAGCGCAATAAGGAGAACATGCTGAAGTGCCCAAGGTACCATCTGCTGAGTGAGTCATTAAAGCAAGGTCCCCTCCTGCCCTCCAGAGACTGCAAATGTTCCAATTGCATGACAGTATTTCAAAGACTTGGATGGATCTTTCTGTTCTAGCTAATAGACATCTCTCAATGCACTAACAAAACAATTGCTGTTCTTTTCCACGTTACTATTATGGACCCTGTGTACTGTACTGTGTACAAGTCTGGTCACCGTACTTATGGAAAGATATTAATGTATTGGAAGCAGTGCAGAGAAGCAGTGCAGAGCTTTACTAGACTAGGATGGTAGACGAGTTTAGAAGGGTCAGAGGTGAATTCATTGATACATGTAGGATCCTGAGGAGATCTGACTGCATAGATGTGGATTTTCTCTTGTGAGAAAATCTAGAAGGGATCACAGTTTAAAAATAAGGGGATGTCCATTTAAAACAGATGAGGAAATAATCATTCTGAGAGTTGAAAGTCTTTGGAATTCCATTCCTCAAAAGGCAGTGGATATAGAATCTTTAAATATTTCTAAGACAGAGGTAGATAGATTCCTGATTACCAAGGGGATGAAAGATGTATACAGGAGTATAGAGTCAAGGTTAAAATTGGATTAGCCAAGATCTTACTGAGTGGTGGAGCAGGCTTGAAGGGTTGAGTCGCCAACTCTTGTTCTTTGTATATTTGTACGATCTTACTGTGTGCAAATTGGCTGTCATATTACTACAGTGACCACTCTACCCCTTTGACTGTCAAGGCACCTTGAGGTAATGAAAAAAACTGTATAAATACAAGTCATTCTTTGTTTTTCCTCATGTACCTGAAATAATAGTCAATGTAAGTTTAAAGGCTGTGTTCAGTAAATTGACATTCATCATTAACTGTAGAAAATTGGAGAGAATAATTCCCTCCCCTTTGAGACCCAATCTTTCACATTGTCAGCTCCTAACATTTTGGATATGACTTGACTGTGCTGATTGTTTCCACAATGACAAACTGCTGTAGACAGTTAGACATTACACAGGGTTTTCAGTTGGAGTTTGTGGCTTGTTTATGGACATTCCATTTGTTGCATTTTAACATTGGTTAAATTATAATGGAATACTTTCCACTTGTCTGGAATAGTACAGCTATCACAGTATTCTAAATACCATCCAGGACATGACATTGTCTGTTTGATTTTGGAGCTATCCACTATCTTAAACACAAGATCATAAGAAATAGGAACAGAGCAGGCCATTCAGCCCCTTGAACTCTCTCTACCATTCAATAGGATGATGGCTCCTCTCCATCACCAGAGCACTGTTGTAGCCAAGATTCTTTGGCAATGCCTCCCAAACTCATAATTCTGTACTGCAAGATGTGGTAATAGGATTTGGTGAATATATAATGGAGCCTCTGAAGGTAAGTTACCATGTAACTGTGAGTTTGGCATTTATTACTTGCTGTAAGGTTGTTTGAGGAGCTGCTCCAGGATCATCATTTATGCATTGTTAATAAAGACTGCTGGTGGAAATTCTTGGACGTCTGGTCTGAGAATAGTTGAAGGGCAGATTAACCCACAGAAATCATTGTAAAACAGAGGGTGCATGGGAACGCCACTACCTGCTTTCAAGTTATCTTTCAAGTCGCACATCATCCTGTCTTGGAACTTTGAAGTATCACAAGGTCAAAATCCTGGGCTTCCCTCCCCAACGGCACTGTGGCTGGCAGTCCATACAGCACATGGACTGCAGCACTTCAAGAAGGCTGCTCACCACCGAGGCAATTCGGAGTGGATAATAAATGCTGGCCCAGCCAATGGTATCCATGTCAGAAGTCACATGACACCAGGTTGTGGTCCAACAGGTTTGTTTGAAATCACAAGCTTTCGGAGCACTGCCCCTTCGTCAGGTGAACTTCACATGATTATCTTAGGGCCCTGCCTATTGAACTGCTGCACATTTGTTAGGTTGAATCTTGTATTGTTTTGTCTAAATATGAGTTGGTTTGTCTAAATGTGAGTTGTGTTGAGTTCTTGTCTGGAGGTTTCTCCCATCATCAGGCTTAGCACAATTTTTTCGCTGTATCTTCCCAAACTTGGCTCATTAACTCCTTACTCCGCCCCTGTGGTAGTCCTTCTCGATCAATTCTAGTCCCACCTTACCACGTGCAGTTCCCCAGAACAGCTTGCTGCTCACCGGATATCCCGAAATTGACCAGTATCCCTGGCACCGCACCATCTTTCAGAGCCCGTTCTGTACTGGGACACGCATTGTCAGTGCAGACCTGCCTCACATGGTTCCAGACGTTTACCCTGGACATGCCAGATGGGAGATCAGTGTCCCCTGCTTAGTGGGTGTGATCCTGGAGGCCCTGTTGGACAGCGTGGTACGGACCTGGGATGTCCTATTTCCCCCAGGTCCAGCGGTGGGGTGGGGGGTGCACATCACCAGACCATGCCAGCCTCATCTGAGGTTGCCACGCTACTGAGGTCAGCATCAGCTCTGTGGAGGAATGCCCAGTGCTGTAGGAAGAAGCTCAGTGACCATCTCAACTCTGTCAGTGTAACTGGATCAGCAAAACCAAGCTCAGGGTAGGCTGGGTTGGGGGCTGAACTTCAGCAAGTAGGAGAAGTGGCTGCTGACCTTGGTGTTCTCACTTACTCACAGTTCCATTCCTTGCAAAGCTCAGACTGTTGAACAATGTATGATTCCAGTACAACACAGTGAAGAGGGTGTTATCGCAAGTGCATAAGTTTCTAGTTTGGTACAGAAGGGAAAATATTCCCCTTCACACTTTAATGCTATTGCTAAAGCAGAAGGGTGTAAAATGTGAGCATTTTTTGCCTCCTAAGAATCAGTGAAATCTTTATTTGTTACTTATTAAAGCCTCTTAATCATGAGTCTGAGCTGCATTCCAGATCAGATCTGGATTTGTGAATTATTAAAAGAGAAGATAACTTAAAATCTTTACTTACTTTTGCTGTTTTCTCCATGTCCATCTCCTGAAGCTGTTAGCCCATTCCAAGTGTTTAGTTTTGCAGCCATTACTCATTCCTTGATACTTTGTCCAAGTTTCCTTTCCTCATGTGTGAACTCTGGTAGCAAGTGGTTGCTGTATTCAACCATAGGAGCATCACAGTGAGGCCCTGTCCTACCCAGAAAGACAAACCTGTAAAACTGGCAAATGACACATACTGGTCTGCCCCTCCTGTATGCTTCAGAGTGGAGTTTCAGTGTGGGACCAGTACATTCATTTCCAAGTATTACATTTCTTGTTAAACTGGCTATTTTCTCCAGTCGCCCCACCTTAAAACCAGCCTGAGTTAATGGCTGTCATCGAGAGCAGAATCTAAATTTTTATACCTTAACCCAAGGTCATTGAGGCCTGTTTAAAGGAAAGAAAGCCATGTATTTACATCATTCTTTTTCACACAAAAAGTCACAAATACTCCAGAGTGAGTGAACGTATTTTGAGATGTTGTCATTGTTATGCAATAGGAATCACAGCAACCAATTTCCACAAAGCGAGCTTCCACAAACAGCAACAAGACAACTAACCAAGCTATTAGATGTTGGCTGAGTAGTAAATATTGGTCAAGACATGTGGAGTATGCCACTGCTTTTCTTTAAATCGTACTATGGAATCTCTTTTAATTCTCTTTGGTGGAAGATGTGGCATTGATCTAACATCTCATCCAAATTATGGCAGCTCCGATAGTGTGACTTCCTAAGTACTGCACAAAACGTTGACTTGTATACGCTGAAGTCTTTATGTTGGGACTTGAATCCGTAATCTTTTAACACGAAGGTAAGAGTGAGCAACAGCAATGTAACCCATTGGATTGCTACTGTGCTGACAGCAAGAAACTTAAGATGGACAAGGACAGAGCCCTGGTTTGCAAGGCCCAGTATTCACTGGATGAGTCCACAAAGCTATTGGTAAACCAACTGAAGTAATTCTTCAGTGTTGGGGCAACACTGATAGAAGTGAACTGTATGCAACGGGTTTATTTTATTTTATTGTGGGGGTTTGGCATAGTGGTTATTCACTAAATTAGCAATACTAAGGCCGCAACTAATGATCCAGCAATCAGGAGTTTCAATCCCTGCTGGGAATTTAAATTTGGTTGATTAAATATATTAAAAAGCTAACATCTGTAATGACGATCATGAGGCTACCTGGTTGTCGTTGAGGGTTGCTTATTTTCTTTAAGGATGGAAATCTGACTTCCCCACCCAGTCTAACTCCAGCTCTATTGCAATATGACCTCTGAAACGCTTTGACACACCATTCAGTTGAATTGAAGAATCGGTCTCGCCACCACCTTCTCTAAAAGCAATCAGGGAGGGGCAGTAAATGACAGCCTGACACTTGCATTCTGTGAATAAATAAGAGAATAAAAGACTTGCCAGAAAGCATTAGCTTGTACTGCAATTGAGGGGGGTAGGTAGAGAAGCTGAATATGCCAAGCATGTGGGAGGGGAACCAGTCACAAACTCACATCTGAAACTACAGTTATGCCCTGAGACAAAGCCATCTGTCACAGGTAGAGGAGCAGTGACTGGAGAGTTCAGAGAGGCAGTATTTGCATTGTGTCACCTGGCCCATGAAGATTAACACCAGTATTCAGTTGTTCACACTGAATATGACAGGGTATATTTTCCCTACTGCTTATTTAAAACAAATCTTCTCTTCCCTTCACTTCCTTATAGTGATCCATTTTTATTGTAGTGCATTTTCATGGTCACATGGACATTGGAATAGGCCATTATCCATCATGGCTAACCAAACACTTCAATATCCTTTATTCACCCCATCCCCATTTTCCTGTACACCGTGGGTAATCAGAAATGTGTCAATCTCCACCCTAAACAAATTTTAAGACTGAGCTTCCATATCCCACTGTAGTAGAGAATTCTAAAGGTTCACAACCCTCTGAGTAAATTTAAAAATCCCCATATTAGACCTCCGTGGCATTATTTTTAAATTTTCATGGTTCTCGACATCCCAACCAGGGGAAACATCTTACCAGCATCTACCATTTACCCTTTTAAGTAATTTATAAATTTCAATGAGATCATCTTCCATTCTTTGAATCTCTAGAGCACAAAGGCCCAGTTTGGCCAATCTCTCTTCATAAGGCAATCCCACCATCCCAGGAACAAGTCAGGTGAACCTTTGTTGCATTCCCTCTATGGCAATATTAATTTCCTGAGATAAGGAGACCAAAACTGCACTCAGTACTCCAGATGTAGTCTAACCAAACTCCTATACAATTGAAGCAAGGCCTCACTACTCCTGTACTCAAATCTTTTTGTAATAAAGGCCATCATTCCATTAGCCTTCCTGATATCTTACTGCATCTGTATATCAGCCCTCACTAACTTAATATCAAGGACACTCAGGTGCCTTTGTACATGTACAGTTTCCAATTTCTTACCATTTAAGAAAAGCTCTGCACATACGTTTCTCCTATCAATGTGGATAACCTCACATTTTCCATATTATCTCCCATCCGCCTTATTTTTGCCCATTCACTAAAGGTTGTCCCAATCCTACAGAAGCTGCTTTATATCTTCATCACAACACACTTAGTTTCGTACCATCTCAAATTTGGAATTATTACATTTGGTCCCCACATCCAAATCATTGTTTTATATTGTTAACAGCTGGGATCCAAGTATTGATCCTTGTGGTACCCCAATAATCACAGCCTGCCAATGTGAGAATAACCCATTTATTCCTATGCTCTGTTTTCTATCGGTTAGCCAATCATTAATGCATGCCAGGGTATTACTTCCCATTCCATGTGCTTCAAGTTAATCTGAGCAATAGCAACAGTGCAGGATTCTCCTTTATCATCCTTCAATTTTTTATCCGTATACTACATTTTAATAATTTTAATTGTTTTACTATACCCTGACAGTCTCATCCCTCTCTAGCTTAGGAACCTTGTCCAACTTGAACTGCAAACCCATATTCTTTTCACCTGGTTGTGTGTATGTCTTTTCTGCTGCTCTATTCCTCATTAAGAGACTTCAACTGCGTAGTTCTGTCCACTGCTCCTGCCTCTGCTGCCCCTCTTTAGACACCCTCCTATTCAGCTGTGATATGGGAAACTCCACTGTAACCAGCACGAGTAAATGAAGGTAGGTTGTAAAAAGTACTTTAAACAAAATTGCATTCCCGGGAATTGCAGTTTCAAAGCTGCATATTTTCCATATTTAATAATTAAGGCATAGGTTTTAATTAAAGCTTCTCATACAATAGGCCCAGTTAAACATTTCAATATTTTTGTGTATGAGTGATTAACGTTGATCAGCCGCTGAACTTGCTCATCATTATCTATCAGCCGCTCTGTGATCTCCAGCATTAACTTCAGGCACCCAGCTAGGAAAGCCAATTCTTCACAATACAAATAATATCTTTGATAAATTGAGCTTCATTAAAATACATCGGTTGTTTGATTTTAAAACTCATTTGTCAGCTTTTTTTTGTAAAGCAGTTGTTTAAATCCATGCAAGAAAGATGAAAAAAATTGCATTCATCATGTGGATTTTCCATTAACTTCTTTCAAATCAGAGAAAATGGTGCCTCACTGTTTTATGGTAATAAACTCGACTGGATTAATTTGTTAAAAAATGAAGTTGTGGAATCAAAAATGTGAAGACTGCAAATTAACTAGAAATCTGAAAATTCAGAACTATGATTACATCTGGGAAAGAAATGCAGGAAATCATGTTTTATGCATTGAAGGAGAGAGTTATTGTCGGGTCTTCATTAACATGCAAGATTGAATTTGAGGAAGATGCAGTCACAGGGCCATACCTGCTGTGAATGCATAATGTGATTTGCTGATAGGTGTTTTCTGTCGGCATGTCTTTGTACTGAATCGCTAATCAGAAAATTCCAGGTGGGATTCTCATTATTTTCCATCAAAAGTCTTAGACCGTTTTTGATAAATGTTGCCGCATGTGCATCGCTGCTGGGGGCACCTTTTCATATTGCATAAATTTTCATGCAAGTATATTAAAATATATTCATTCTGTTCGAAGCAACTGATATCGACAGCACAGGTCCGGTTAAATTACCTGAATATACTGAGTGATCTTCGAACATATGGAGGGAAAACCTTTAACGCAACGCTTCTGGTACGTAGGGGAAAGGAGAAATCTGGCTCATTGTTTTTTATATTTGATTTTTTTTGTTGTCTTTAATAAGTTTCTAATGAAATGCAATTTCTTTAGCTGCAGGACAGAGAATCATTTATTACGTTGTTGGTAGGAGCCCAGTATGGTATCAGCCAAGTCATTAACAGCAAGCTCAATATTATAAACCAGTTAACAAACTTCAACAACATTAGGAAGTTGGAATTGACCTTCGAGTGTGAGAAGGTCAGCATGGTGAGCATCTACCTCATGGATGTGAAGGTAAAGACTATTTATGCTAACTGATAATAAGGCTTTCTGATATATATGGTGGCTCAGTGGTTAGCACTGCTGCCTCACAGTGCTGAGGACCCAGGTTCAATTCCCCCCTCGGGTGACCGTCTGTGTGGAGTTTGTATGTTTTCCCTGTGTCTGCGTGAGTTTCCTCCCACAGTCACAAAGATGTGCAGGTTAGGTGGCTTAGCCATGCTAAATTACCCATAATGGCCAGGGGATGGATAGGGTAGGGGGTGGGTCTGGGTGCAGTGCTTTTCAGAGGGCTGGTGTGGAGTCAATGGGCGGAATGGCCTGCCTCCACACTGTGAAGATTCTATTCTATGATTCTAAGGCGTTGTCTGGTCAAATCCTGGCTGCTGTGCTGTAGTAAGATTTGTTCGTCAGTTACTCCTATCCTCAGTTTGCAAACATTTTGCAATAAAGTTACTTAAGAGTGACTCCTCCCTTTGCTCACTGTCAGGCAGATGGCAGATGCTTCTAGTCACTTACCTGCACTGGGCCCTCCATGATTCCAACATCAAGAGACCTGACTGTAATTTTAACTCAGGCCTGAGCACTAGATACGTCTGCAAATTTACAGCCAGGCCAGGCCACTCTGGAGCATGAACCTGATCAACCCCTGCAAAGTGAAGTGAAATCCCTTGCTGTGGGGGGAGAGGTGTGCTCCTCCAGCACCCACAGGAAAAAGTTTGGCCTCCCCTTTCCCAGCCTGTACAATCCCTCTTCCTCAACATGACACTGCTGCAGAATAGGTACCTGCCACCTGTTGGTCTGTGTGATCTGTTGTGGAGCAATGTGCATTGATATGGGCCAATGTGGTTTGATATGGGATGACACATGCTGATACGGTGCAATACAGCCTGGTTTGGGGGATATTGTGAGTGATAATGTAGTGGTGCAGGCTGATAATGGGCTGACATGGACTGATAAGAGATGATGTGAGCTTTGCTGAGGATCAGTGTGAGCTGATGAGGCAGTGCAGGCTGATATAGAGTGACAGAATGATACAGCACAGGAGGAGCTCGTTCAGTGCACCCCACCCATTCTTCTTCTATTGTAGAGCCTGTCAAATAATCACACTCCACACCGCCCCCCCCCCCAACCCTTTTCCCATAGTGCTGTGTCTTTTCCCCTTTCAAGTACTTCTCCAATTTCCTTTTCAACAATGTTGTTGAATCTGCTTCCACTACTCTTTTCAGGCAATGCAGCCCAGATTATCCCAACTCGCCTCTTAAAACAACTTCTCCTCAATCTTGCCTTACTGTAGCTAATTAGCATAAATCTGTGCCCTCTGGTTACCAGCCTTTCTGTCCCTGCAAGTAACTCATCCTTATTTACCCTTCACCATTTTGAATGTCTCTATTAACTAGCCTTCTAATCACTAATGGCTGGCATGGTGGCTCAGTGGTTAGCACTGCTGCCTCACAGCGCCAGGGACTTGGGTTCAATTCTACCCTCGGGTGACTATCTGTGTGGAGTTTGGACATTCTCCCTGTGTCTGTGTGGGTTTCCTCCCACAATCCAAAGATGTGCAGGCTAGGTGGATTGGCCATGCTAAATTGCCCATAGTGTTCAGGGAAGTGTAGGTTAGGTGCATAATAGGGGGATGGGTCTGGGTGGGATGGACTTGTTGGGCTGAAGGGGCTGCTCCCACACTGTAGGGATTCTATTCTTCACTGCTGCAAGTGGAGCTTCTCCAAGATCCCCACTACTGAAGTCCTTCTATCCAGAATTGCACAAAATTTTCCAGCTTTGATTTATAAAGTTCAGCATAATTAGCTTTCTTTTATACTTTAAGCTGCTGGTGTGTCCCTGTGTAAGCCCAGTGATGATGAGAAAGTGAAATAGTTTTTAATGGACTGAAGTAATCTACAAATACTAAAATGGGCCAATGAATGCCTTCCTTGTTCTCTGTTGAAAGCATAAGCTTTAGCAAACCTGCTGTTCTGTGACCATTTGAATAGCCGCACAATAAGTTACACTTGAACCGCATTTTGATTAGCTTGTGCTTAGGGAGAGTTGTTCGGAATGTGGTGTTGTGTTTCTGACAGCGTTTGAAGGTTAATGTTGGCTGCAGGAGGCTGAGAGGGGGGGACAGTGTTCGAAAGGGCAGTAGGTGCAGGGCCTCTTGCTCTACACTATCAGCAGGACAGACATAGGAAGAGGTGGAGAGAGGAACCTCTCTGAGGGGAGTGGACAAGGAGGGCTCTCCTCACCTCGAGAGGGCCTTTCAAAAGGACTAGTCCTTACAGAGATATACAGGAGCAATGCGTCAGAAGGCTTGTCCTTTTCTAAGGAATGAAGACTTGGCAACAGGGTTGACATTTCTTTGGAAATATTGCACTCACTGTTCCTGTATGAGATTCAGGTGAGAGAATTACTCCCTAAGGACCCTGGGTGATGAGGGTTTCTGCTGAGATCTTCCCTCTTCCCCCATTTCCCCTCCTCCCATTGTGAGAGGCTTATTCCCTTCTGCATCGCTCCTGATAATTCTGCTTGTCACCCTCCACGCCCAGGCATTAGAATGTACAGTGTCTGTTGTATTATGATACAGACGCCAGGCCAGAAAGAACAGTACCTTGAAGACATGTGACATTCCAGTGTAAAGATATCCACCTCACCTTAAGTCACTCTGTATAATAGAGTCAGCATAGTGTCTTCAGTCAGCCAGGTCTGGATATATAGTGGACAGTAACATCTGTAGGCACAGAACTAAGATTGTGTATGTGTGTGATATTGTAACTGTGTAAGTAATGTTCCTCATAAGCTACAAGACATCTATTTTAACAAGAGCCCTATGGTGTATATTATGTAGACTATCATACAGGAAACCACAAAGCCCATCAATATTGATTACTGGGAGCAAGTGACCTGACCAGACCCTTGGAGTCAGACCATATCTTCCATCATTTGCAACATTGCTCCATGTTACTAACGTCACCAACTTTAAATAGCAACAGAAATGTTATAGTCCTCCAACAGATTCAAAGTCAATAGAAATCAATCCGCAAATAACTGGAAAGCAGTTGATAATCCTTTTAACTAATCCTTGCTTCCGTCTGTCGAATGTATGTTCAGCTATTTGAGGTTAAGAAAGGGCATTAGCTGGAGCTATAGTTTCAAACATGGCAATTTTGGCATCCAGTCAGGATTAAGCACTGACTGATGCCATGATCTTTCTACTACATGTGCTCACGACACACAAAAATGGTATCAATGCAGTCGTAGAATGTGTGTCTGCGTGTGTGCCTGTGTGTATATCCGTGTGTATATCCATGTGTGTGTCTACGTGTGTGTCCGTATGTGCGTGCCTGCGTGTGTGTCTGTGTGTATATCCATGTGTGTGTCTACGTGTGTGTCCGTGTGTGTGTGCCTGCGTGTGTGTGTGTGTATGTCTGTGTATGTGTCTGTGTGTGTATATCCGTGTATGTGTCTGTGTGTGTGTCCGTGTGTGTGTGTCTGCATGTGTGTGTCTGTACAAAACATGTTAACAAAACCAGCATCTGTAGCATCAAAAACACTGGCACAAAGGAGCCACATCTGTGGTCAAAATCTTAAGTCATCGGGGTAGCTATAGTTTTCAATTTCCTTTCTTCTCTCCTTTCTCGAGTCTGTAGCCAAACTGTCTCCTTTTCAAAGGCCTCCCTTTATATTTATTATTAATCACAATGGACCAAACCTGTTGTCGAGCCGCAAGAAATTATTGCTCCACTAGTTTTCAGGAGTAGGGGTCTGTTCCTAGACCTTTCCTGTAATTTTCTCAAAACTTAATGATTTTTGTGATACCCATGTTTTCCAAATGCTGCTGCCTTGAAACTTCCTCTGTCTGCAACACTTCATTCCCCAGAACTCGAACCAGCGCCGTCTCCTTCCTCACTGAGCCCAGGAAGGAGAGGAGACATTAGTGAATGTTCTAACTGGCCAAGTCACTGCTATCTTTGGAAATTACTCCGGTGTCAGCAGATCAGTGTCGCTCTGGGCCTGGCATGGCTCTTTTTTTAGCATTCTGGGAAAACAGGCAAGATGGGTAGGCAGACAAGCAGAAATCCAACCTTTCCTTGATAAATCATTCACTGGATATTTTCTTAAAGAAGCACAAAAATCATTTCAGATTCAGTCACAAGATTCTGTCTTGCTTCCCCAGGATCACCTCACAATTATGCAAAACAATTACTAAGTTCAACAAATGCCTCTTCTGTAGTGGATTGAGGGAATAGTTTAAATCACAGAAGGAAGGATTAATTGGCTCCCTGTCCTGAGAAAGGTTGTTCTTGATAAATGTAAGGCAAATCTCCTTTAAAAGTTTTCTTTGGGAAGGAGAGGAGACATTAGTGAATGTTCTAACTGGTCATGTGGTCATCAAATGATTTTCCCACCTGCACTACACCATTGAGTCTCATGACACCTATTTAATGTAAATTAAATAATGAGCCAGAATTCACTGCCAAAGTAGCAGTGAGTTTCACAGCACTTGTCAATTTACTATTGTGTAAATTCTTGTGGTGAGGAAAAGTTGCTGAGAGATTTGTACCATTTGATTGCTAGCCTTGTTTAAACAGCAACTCACCCATTACCTTCTCAAGGTTTATAGAGTCATAGAGATCTACAGCACAGAAAAGGGCCCTTCAGCCCATTGAGTCTGTGCTGGTCAAAACGCCTATCTAACGCTATAAGATGATTTCCCAGCACTCGGCCCATAGCATTGTATGCCTTGGCATTGCAAGTGCACATCATAATACTTCTTAAATGTTATGAGGGTTTCTGCCTCTACCACCCTTGCAGGCAATGAGTTCCAGTTTCCCACCACACACTCGGTGAAAATGTTTTCCTCATATCTGCCCCTTACTTTAAATAAATGTCGCTGGTCACTGATTCCTCCATCAAGGGAAACATTTCTTTCTGTTGACAATATCTACGCCCCTCATAATTTTATACATCTCAATCATGTCCCCTCAGTCTCCTGTGCTCTTAGGAAAACAACCCCAGTCTACTCGATCTCTCTTCATAGCTAAAACTCTGCAGCCTAAGTAACATCCTGTTAAATCTTCTCTACACCCTCTCCAGTGCAATTCATCCTTCCTTTAATGTGGATTCCAGAACAGCACACAATACTGTAGCTATGATCTAACTAGCATTTTAGAAAGTTCCATTATGACCTGCTGTTAAACTCTGCATCTTGGCTAATAAAGGCAAGTATCCCATTCACCTTCATAATCACTTTATCCATCTGTCCTGATACTTTAAAGGACCAGTGGGCATCCACACTAAGGCCCTTCTGATTCTCAGTGCTTCCCAGGATCCTACTGGTCATCATGTATTCTCCTGACTTGTTTCTCGTCCCCAAGTGCATCACCTCACATTTATCCAGACTGAATTCCATTTGCCACTGATCAGCCTATCTGACCAACCCATCTATATACTCTCGTAATGTCAGGCTATCCTCCTCACTTTTTACCACCTGACCAATTTTTAAATCAACTGAAAACCTATTGATCAACCCTCCTACATTCAAGTCAGAATCAATTATATAAACCACAACCTGTAAGGGCCCCCACACTGATCCCTGTGTGACCTGTCCCGACACAGTTTTCCAGCTGGAAAAAACACCCCTCAACCATCATCCTCTGCGTTCTGCCACTCAGCCAATTATGGATCCAATTAGCCAAATTTCCTTGGATCCCATGGGCTCTTTTCTTTTCTACCAATCTCCCATGCAGGATCTTATCAAAAGTCTTGTTGACATCCAAATGGACATCAAAAGTATTCACTCACCTACACACCTTGTCAACTCTTTGAAAAATTCAATCAAGTTGGTTAGACATGAATTTCCTTTAACAAAACCATGCTGACTATTTTTGATTAATTCCTGCCTCTCCAATTACAAATTAATTCTGTCCCTCAGAATCGTTCTGGCAATTTCTCCAGCACGGGGTACAACTGATTGGTCTGTAGCCCTTGCTCCCTCTTGAATAACGGTACCACATTGGCTGTCTGCAAGTCCTCTGACACTACTTCTAGGATAGAGAGGAATTGAAAATTATTGACAATGTCCCTGGTATTTCCTCCCTTAACAACCTGGGATACATTTCATTCAGCCCTGGAGACTTATCGACTTCTAAGCCAGACCATTCAGAACCTTCTGTCTGTGAATGATAATCTCTTTAATTGTATCACAGACTCCTCCCTGATTTCTATACTCAAATCGGCCATGTCACTAGTGAATACTGACCATCCTCTGACTCCACTCATATATTATTACTGTGGTCCTAGTGGGCCCTACTCTTTCCTTTTATCCTAATGTACTTGTAAACCAGTTTAGGATTTCCCTTTATTTTACCTTCCAGGATCCTTTCATGTCCCCTTTCTGGTCTCCTATTCATAGAACAAAGAACATAGAACAGTACAGCACAGTGCAGGCCCTTCGGCCCATGATGTTGTGCCGAACTTTTACCCTAATCCTAAGGTCTATCTAACCTCCACCTCTACCTATTACTATTATCCATATGCCTATCTAATAGCAGCTTAAATGCCCCTAATGAAGCCCACTCCACTACCCTCTCCGGCAATGCATTCCACGCCCCGACCACTCTCTGAGTAAAGAACCTACCTCTGACGCATCCCCTATATCTACCTCCACTCACTTTAAAACTATGTCCCCTCATAATAGCTACCTCCACCCTAGGAGAAAGTCTCTGGCTATCTACTCTATCTATACCTCTGATCATTTTGTACGCCTCTATCAAGTCAAATTCTCCATTTTAAGTTCACTATTGCGCATTCTGTACAGCCTCAAACAGCCCTGGCTATCTGCATAAGTATCCCTTTTTCTCTTAATCCAATGCTGTATATCTCTAGATATCCGGGTCCCGCAGGCTTAAATGGTCCCACCCATTCTTTTATTGGAGCATGTTGGCCCTGTACTCTCCATACTTCCTTCTAGAATGCATCCCGTTGTTCTGTGACAAATTTGCTTGAAAGTTTTAAGAAATTGTTGCATCTGAGTATTAATGGTTAATTAAACTCATCCCAAGTTCCTATGTTGGAATAGTATCTAAAAAATACTCCATGTTTGCAAAGCTCTTTGGGATGTCCAGTGACTCTGAAAGATGCTATATAAATACAAGTTTTCCTTTCAAAGAGATGTGGGTAGTTAGTACTTGACAGAATCAAGATATTTTTTAATGATGAGTTTTAGGTTTTGATAATACAATCCACCTCTCCCATTCAGAAGAAGAATAAATCAAACCCCAGGTATTATTCCAAACTGTACTAAATTGTTGTTAGAAATTTGCATCATTTTACATTTGCTTTTACTTATCTTTTCTCTTTTTTTTCTCTATACAAGCACTTCTTTCTTTCTCTTTCTGAGCCCAATTTGACTAATCTACCTTCTGTATTGTTCCTGCTTCTTTCTCAATCCTTAATTTTCAAGGTTAAAGAGATAGATTGTTTTACCTATTATTTGACAAGATCCCAGATTCCCCGTTGCCCTCACTTATCAACTTGCACTTTGAGCAACTTACAATGTTTTCATGCTTTAGAGGGAAGAAAAAAAAACACTAAAATGTTGCATTCCAGCAAATTCTAGGCAGATAATGTTGAGCAAATACTGTTTAAAATAAAGGCATTGATACTAATTGAAGTTTAGCGCTATTAGTGGAAGAGTTCAATCACTGACACTATGCTTGTATTTACAGTCCCTGACTTTGTTACTGGAATCTCATCATGCCAAAGACCTTGTGTGTTTGATTGCTGGATATCATAGACTATATGTAAACCCAACAGACTCCATATTCATCTGGCCTAGCAACTATCAAAGTCAGACACTTACAAGTGAAGAAGGTAATATTTTGGTTATTGTTTATTTTTTAAAATGAGAATTCCAGTTTTATTCTTGCCATACTTTTGCCCAAGAAAGCATACATTCCAAATGTGAGATATCACAGTGTGGAGCTGGAGGAACACAGCAGGCCAGGCAGCATCAGAGGAACAGGAAAGCTGATGTTTTGGGTCGGGACCCTTCTTCAGAAACTCCCAACCCGAAATATCAGCTTTCCTGCTCCTCTGATGCTGCCTGGCATGCTGCGTTCCTCCAGCTCCCCACTTTCTTATCTCGGACTCCAGCATCGGCAGTTCTTGCTATCTCATTCCAAATGTGAATTTCGTTTCCATTGTCACTGCTCCCAGGCAGAATGTGTTTTCACTGGTATTTTTAGCACTGCAAACTGGACAGGGCTGTTCTGAATGTATCCAGAGACTGATTGAATCCTTGGTTAATGTCTGCCTTGGTTAAGAGGCAGCCTTTACATCCAGTGTGAAAGTTACAGTTTCAAGTAGCACTTGAAGATACTCTCACTGACTGGGTGCTGCATAGAGGTAAAAACTGAAAGAACTGCGGATGCTGTAAATCAGGAACAAAAACAGAAGTTGCTGGAAAAGCTCAGCAGGTCTGGTAGCATCTGTGAGGACAAAATCAGAGTTAACGTTTCAGGTCCTGTGACCCTTCCTCAGAACTGGAGCCAGAACTCAGAACCAGTTCTGGGGAAGGGTCACCTGACCCGAAACGTTAACTCTGATTTTTTCTTCACAAATGCTGCCAGACCTGCTGAGCTTTTCCAGCAACTTCTGTTTTTGTTGCTGCACAGAGGTGCTATCTTTTCAATGAGACATTGAGACTTTGGGAAAGTTTAGATAATTCCATGGTACCATTTGAAAAAAGGCAGAGTCCTCGTACTTTGCTCAATATCTGTTGTACCAGACTTGGTGTAGTGCAATGTGACAATATTAATTATTGACCAGAGAAAAGGCTTCTCTAGGTAGCACCTGCGCTCTGTTCGCGACAAATGACACCTTCTGGACGCGAACCATTTTAACTCCCCCTCCCACTCCCTGCGCGACATGTCCATCCTTGGCCTCCTCCAGTGTCACAATGATGCCACCCGCAAACTGGAGGAGCAGCACCTCATATTCCACCTTGGGATGCTATCCCAATGGCCTAAACGTAGATTTTACCAGCTTCAAAATCTCCCCACCCTTGGCCACATCCCATGACCAACCCTCCTTGATCTGACACAACCTGTCCATCTTCTCTCCCACCTATCTGCCCCTCCCATCCCACTGACCAATCCCCACCACTCCCTACCTGCACTCACCTATCACCATCTCACCTATCTTCCCCACCCCCACCCGTCCTCTCTCTATTTCTGAGCTCCCTTCCCCGCTACCCATAACATTTCTGAAGAAGAGTCCCGACCTGAAACGTCAACTTTCCTGCTCCTCTGATGCTGACAAGGCCTGCTGTGTTCCTCCAGCTCCACACTGTGTTATTTCTGACTCCAGCATCGGCAGTTCTTACTATCTCTAGGTAGATTAAATCTTCTATCCAGTTTTAAAGGGAGACGAGTGAGCATAAGACTAGTATTTTATACTTTACAAGGGGCAATTATGTGGGCATGAAAACTGAGCAGCTAAAATGAACTGAGATACTAGGTTCAGGAACAGATCGTAGAGAAGCAAAGGTAGATTTTTAGGGGATATTTCAAAGTACTCGGAATAAGTCTTTTTATACTATAAAATGAAGTTCTAAAGAGAGAACTAACCATCTATGATCAATGTAACAATTTAAGGAAGGTATCAAGATTAAGGGAGAAGTATATAATATGATTAGCAGGTCAGATGATTGGACAGAAGATAAAGAATGGCAGAGAATGACAAAGATTAATCAAGAGAAAGAAACTGGAGTATGATGGGATGCTAACTAGAAAAGTAAGAACAGACTGGGTGACCACTTTGCACAACACCTTTGGTCAGTGCACAAGCACGACCCCGACCTTCCCATAGCCGGTTGTTTAAACACAGCATCCTGCTCGCATGCCCACTTGTCTGTCCTCGGCACGCTGCAGTGAGTCACAGTGAAAACTGGAGGAACAAAATCTCATCTTCAAACTAGGCTCTATACAAGAAGGGAGGGAAAGAAGAAACTGTGGGCCGGTTAGTTTGATACTTGTCATAGGGAAGGTGTTCAAATCAATATTAAGGAGATTATAGTTGAATGCAGACAAAACTCCAGATATGTGGGGAGAGTCAGCATTGCTCTGTGAAAGGGAAATCATGTTTAACCAATTTATGTCAATTCTTTGAAGGAGTAGTCTGTGCTGTGGTTAATGGGGAACCTGTAAAGATACTATGCTTGGGTCTTCAGTGGGATTTGATGTGCAGTGTAAAAGTTTATTGCACCAAATAGGTCCCAAATGGTAACATAATTGTATGGGTAGAAGATTGGCTGGGTTCAAGATCCACCTGCTCCAGAGGTGTGTAATAACATCACTGAACAGGTTGATTAAAAATATCTAGAAGATTGGCTGACAGAAACAGAAAGTGTGCATGAAAGGATCCCTTTCTGATTGGGAGGAGGATGAGTCCGAGAAGAATCTGTGTTGGGACCTAAGCATTTTGCAATTTATATCAATGACTTCGAAATGGGGAGTTTAGATTACTCAAAGATAGGAAGGGAAGTAAGTTGCGAAGAAGACATAAGGAGTTTTCAGATGGATATCAACAGGTTGAATGAGCGCTCGAAGGTTTGGCTGATGGGATATAATATGGGAAACTGTGAAATTATTCAGTGGCAGGCAGAATAAAAAAAAAGCAGAGTATTGCTTAAAGCAAGAACAACTGCACCATTTCAGGGTACAGAAATATTTATATGTTGTAGTGCATGATGCACAAAAGCAAAGTGCAGCGAACAAATGTGAAGGCTAATGGAAAACTATTCTTTATTGGGAGAGTATTGAATGCAAACATAAAGATGTTTTGCTTTAGTTATCCAGGGCATCGGTGAGACTATGTCTCTAATATTGCATGCAGTTTTGATCTTCTCATTTAAGGAAGACTGTAAATGTTTTTAAAACAGTTCAGAGGAGCTTCTTGAGATTGATACTTGAGAAAAGGTTGTGCAAACTGCCTTGCTTCCATTGGAGTTTAGATGTGTGAAGGGTGATTTGATAGAAGTATATACAATCCTGAACAGTCTTGACAAATTGGAAGCAGGAATGATGTTTCCTGGCTTGAGTGAATCCAAAATTAGGGGTCACTGTTTTAAAAAAAAATACAAAAAAACAGAGATGAGTGTTTTTCTTCCAGATGGTTGTGAAACTTTAACACTTTTTTTGCCTCGGAAGATGGTGGAGGTGGGGTCATTGAATCCTTTTTAAGGTTGAGGTAGATAGATATTTGGAGGGCACGAGAATGAAAGGTTCACGTAGATGGGGAAATAGGGTATGAAGCACAAACAGGTTAGTTATGATCATATTGAATGGCAGGGTAGGCTCCATTGTCCCAGTGACTTATATCTGTTCCTAATTGATTTGTACTTCTTCTATTTGCTTTCAATTCAGTCCATTTCCTGGATGGAAAGACTCAGTTTCTTTTCTCAGCATACATTTCCTCTGTGGCATATCGTCCACACCTTCAGTACAGACAGAAGGCAGCTCAGCCATCACCCTCTCAAGGGCAATTAGGGATGGGCAATAAATGCTGGTCACCCAGTAACACCCTCATCCCATGAATTAATATATTGAAAAAACACAGGGTAAAGGACAAGAGGATTCTTCTTTCAGATCTTTGAAATGTGTGCAGATTATTAAAAATCAGGATTAACAGACCCATCAGCTCCTGTGGGTATTGTATCCAAAGGATGGTAATACTTTTCATTCCAATGCCAATTCTTCCATTAGACTGATCAGTTCTATGGAGCATTCGCAATGTTTGTTTTACTTTGGTATCATTTTCAGAAAGCGACTCTTTTCAATGAAGTTATGATAGAAAATAAACTCATGTCAGTTTAAACATGTTTCCATCTCAGAATGATATCTGTAGCAGCAATCTGAGAGAGATGAGTCAATCACAGTTCAGACTTCGCTCATATTTTCCAACAGCATTACTCACTCTGACCTAGTGCCGATGAAGTGGGTTTCAGTTGCTGTTGGGTCTTGTCAATGTTCCAGAATGTAGGAACATATATTTCATGATACATATTCTTAGGAAATATAGGATCTGAAAAATCTTGAAAGCTTAAGCATGGAATCTCACAATCGGAAACATTGATCAAGAAATAGGATTTTTAATAGCAAATTTTATTTACTGTAAAAGTTACTAATTTTGCTTTTATGTCGTGAGTAACAAGCCTGGCACTGAAATTGAGTGGTATGCTGAATCTGAACAAACATGTACAATTGACATGACATCAATATTGAAGCTGTAACTGTTAAAGGCTCTGCCCTGTGGTAATTCCACCAACTAATTCCTTGCAGACAGTAATACACTATTTTCCTGAAGAAATCTTGACTTACAATCATAGAGTCATAGAGATATACAGCACGGAAACAGACCCTTCAGTCTAACTTGTCCATTCCGACCAGATATCCAATGTAAATCTAGTCCCATTTGCCAGCATTTGGCCCATATCCCTCTATATCCTTCCTATTCATATACCCATCCAAATGCCTTTTAAATGTTGTAATTCTACCAGTCTCCACCACTTCCTCTGGCTGCTCATTCCATACACACTCTGTGTGAAAAAGTTGCCCCTTAAGTCCCTTTTAAGTCTTTCCCCTCTCACCTTAAACCTATGCCCTCTAGTTTTGGACTCCGCCACCCCAGGGAAAAGTTCTAACCTGTTAACCTATCTGTGCCCCTCATGATTTTATAAACCGCTATAAGGTCACCCCTCAGCCTCCGACGCTCCAGGGAAAATAGCCCCAGCCTATTCAGCTTCTCCCTATAGCTCAAACCCTCCAACCCTGGCAACATCCCCACAAGTCTTTTCTGAACCCGTTCTAGTTTCACAACATCCTAGCTATAGCAGGGAGACCAGAATCGAAAGCAGTATTCCAAAAGTGGCTGAACCAATGTCCTATACAGCTACAACATGACCTCCCAACTCCTTTACTCAATGCACTGACCAATAAGGCAAGCATACCAAACGTCTTCTTCACTATCCTATCTACCTGTGACTCCACTTTCAAGAAACTATGAACTTGCACTCCAAGGTCTCTTTGTTCAGCAATACTCCCCAGGACCTTACCATTAAGTGTATAAGTCCTGCCCTGATTTGCCTTTCCAAAATGCAGCACCTCACATTTATCTACATTAAACTCCACCTGCCACTCCTCGGCCCACTGGCCCATCTGATAAAGATCCCATTGTACTCTAAGGTAACCTTCTTCACTGTCCACTACACCATCAATTTTGTTGTCATCTGCAAACTTACTAAATATACCTCCTATATTCACATCCAAATGATTTATATAAATGACGAATAGCAGTGGACACCGCACTGATCCTTGTGGCACACTACTGGTCACAGACCTCCAATCTGAAAAGCAATGCTCCACCACCACTCTCTGTCTTCTACCTTTGAGCCAGTTCTGTATCTAAATAGCTAGTTCTCCCCATACTGTGTGATCTAACCTAGCTAACCTGTCTGCCATGAGGAAACTTGTCGAACACCTTACTGATGTCCATACAGATCTCATCCAGCGCTCTCCCCTCATTAATCCTCTTTGTTACTTCTTCAAAAAACTCAATCAGATTAGTGAGACATGATTTCCCACGCACAAAGCCATGTTAACTATCCCTAATCAGTCCTTGCCTGTCCCTCAGGATTCCCTCCAACAACTTGCCCACCACTGTTGTCAGCCTCACTGGTTTATAGTTCCCTGGCTTTTCCTTTCCACCTTTCTTAAATAGTAGCACCACATTAGCCATCCTCCAGGCTTCCGGCACCTCACCACTGGCTATCAATGATACAAACGTCTCAGCAAGGGGCCCAGAAATCACTTCCCTCACTTCCCACAGAGTTCAGGTCCCGGGGATTTATTCACTTCTTTGCATTTTAAGACGTTCAGTACCATCCCCTCTGTAATTTGGACATTTTTCAAGATTTCGCTATTTATTTCCCCATGTTCACTATCTTCCATATCCTTCTCCACAGTAAACACTGATACAAAATATTCATTTAGTATCTCCCTTGTCTTCTGCGACCCCACACATAGGCGGCCTTGCTAATCTTTAAGGGCCCTATCTTACCCTAGTTACCCTTTTGTCCTTACGTATTTGTAGAATCCCTTTGGATTCTCCTTAACCCTATTTTCTACAGCTATCTCATGTGCCCTTTTTGCCCTCCTGATTTCCCTCTTAAGTATAATCCTACTGCCTTTATACTCTTCTAGGGATTCACTCAATCTCTGTTGTCTATACCTGACATATGCTTCCTTCTTTTTCTTGACCAAAACCTCAATTTCTCTAGTCATCCAGCATTCCCCACACCTACCAGCTTTGCCCTTCACTCTAAAAGGATCATACTGTCTCTAGACTTTTGTTATCTCATTTTTGAAAGCTTCCCATTTTCCAGCCATCCCTTTGCCTGTGAACATCAACCCCCCCAGTTAACTTTTGAAAATTCTTTCCTAATAACGACAAAATTGGCCTTCCTCCAATTTAGAATTTTAATTTTTAGATTCGGTTTATCCTTTTCCATCATTATTTTAAACTAATAGAATTATGGTTACTGGCCCCAAAGTGCTCCCCCACTGACACCTCAGGCACCTGCCCTGCCTTATTTCCCAAGAGTAGGTCAAGTTTTGCACCTTCTCTAATAGGTACATCAACATACTGAATCAGAACATTTTCTTGTACACACTTCACAAATTCCTCTTCATCCAACCCTTTAACACTATGGCAGTCCCAGTCTGTGGAAAAATAAATTCCCCTACCATAACCAACCTATTATTCTTAGAAATAACTGAGGCATCCTTACAAATTTGCTTCTCAGTTTCCCACTGATTATTGGGGAAGGGGTTTATAGTAGAATCCCAATAAGGTGATCATCCCTTTCTTATCTCTCTGTTCCTTGGACGTATTCCCAGGAATATCCTTCCTAAGTACAGCAGTAATGTTATCCTTAATCAAAAACGCCACTTCCCCTTCCTTTCTTGCTCCCCTTTCTATCCTTCCTATAGCATCTACACCCTGGAACATTAAGCTGCCAGTCCTGTCCATCCCTAAGCTACGTCTCTATTGCTATGATATCCCAGTCCCATGTTCCTAGCCATGCCCCGAGTTCATCTGCTTTACCTGTTCGGCCTCTTGCATTGAAATAAATGCAGTTTAAATTATCAGCCCTACCTCATTCTCTGCTTTATTCCCACCTGTTCTAATTGTTTGACTTACTCCTTTTTCCCAACTATACCAGTCTCTTTTGTCAAAATCTCCCTAGGTTCTACCATCATCCCCCCTACTCCGCACCCCCCCCCCCCAAAAAAACTAGTTTAAATCCTCCCGAGCAGCTCTAGCAAATATCCCACCAAGTATATTAGTCCCCATCCAATTCAGGTGCAATCCTTCCTTCTAATACAGGTCACTTCCACACCAGAAGAGATCCCAATGATCCAAAAATGTGAATCCTTCTCCCCTGCACCAGCTCCTCAGCCACGCATTCATCTCCTCTATCCTCTTATTCCTACCCTCACTAGCTTGTGGGTAATCCAGATATTATTACCCTCGAGGACCTCCTCTTTAAATTCCTGCCTAACTTCCTATATTCTCTCCTCATAATCTGATCTTTTTCTCTTCCCATGTCGTACAACAACCTCCTGCTGGTCCCTCTCCCCTTTGAGAATATTCTGCACCCTCTCCAAGATATCCTTGATCCTTGCACCAAAGAGTCAACATCCCATTCTGATGTCTCGCTGTCAGCCGCAGAAACATCTGTCTGTGCCTCTGACTAGAGAGTTCCCCATCATAATCGATCGCTTGGAATATGGCGTACCCCTCATTACATTAGAGCCAATCTCGGTACCAGAAACCTGGCTGTCAGTGCTACATTCCCTGAGAGCCCATCACCCCCTGCATTGTCCAAAACAGCAAACTTGTTTGAGATGGGGATAGCCAAAGGAGACTCCTGCACTACCTACCTCCCTCTCCTACCTTTCCTGGAGGTAACCCAACTACCTGACTGTATCTTCAGTTTATCTCATTTCCTGAAACTGCTATCCATCAAACCATTCCCTGCACCCCCACCAGCTCCTGTAAATTCCTCATTGCCTCTAACTGCTGCTCCAATCAATCCATGTGATCTGATAGGATTTGCAACCAAGCACACTTGCGGCAGACATAATCATCAGTAACATGGAAATGCTTCCCTAATCTCCCTCATCCGACAGGAAGAGCACATCACTCTACTAAAGGCCATCTTTACACCTTAACAACCTACTGAGCCTGAAAATAGCACAGTCTTACTGCTTTAAAAAATACTGCTCCAGGCTAACTTAGTACCTTTGTTTTATATTTTTAAAGTTTAATCAAGAGACAGATCTCAATAAAAATATATAATCAAAAAGAACCCACTCTACCCACTAGACTTACAAAAAAATCTAGCCTCTTAGCTGCTCCCCTGCTGTGAGCTCCCATAGGTCAGTTGTGAATTTTGCTGTTTGTTTATTTTCCTCAGAGATCTACAATGTCCAGAAATACTTGAAATCAAACAGTGGAGGCAGTAACTGTGAAGGTTCACTGTTGGGTCAGACAGCAGTGTGGGCTTCTTTCTCCGCTGATTCACTTCTCACCATGTGCCCACTACCTTTGTCTCCCTTTCTCCTTTTTTAAACTGCCGCTGTTTCCCAAACTTCTAAAACAATGCAACAGCTTATAAAACAGTAATTACTGCTCCTAGAACTCAAGGAAATCAGCTCCAAAATACCTCAAAAAACGAGCAGCTCCTACAACCACAAATTCTTCGCATCCTCCATCTTGGATTACCCAGAATCCTTTTTTATCCAAACAAACATTTTCAACCAAAATAAATAACATAAATAGAAAGGCACAGTGTGGAAGTTAATCACAGTTCTTCAAGTTTGTATTAAAAGTGGTACTTTATTTATTTATTAACAGGATTAGGGTGTCGCTGGCTAGGTCAGCATTTATTGCCCATCCCTAAGTGCCCAGAGAATATGTTTAAGATAGCAGAATTCAGTTTTTAAAGCAATATTAGATGGTTCCTTCGTCTGACCTTAGGTGTAACTTTTCCACTATGCAGGTGATGAGGCCCGAGGATTAAGTGATTCAGAGTCAACGTCAGACATTGACTCATCGTTGGATTTGTCTATAGAGCTCCACAAATTGAGAAATGGATTCATACAACCTCTGACTGAAGAAAATGAAGATATTGAGAACTCAGAAAGTGAGGCTACAGACAGTGACTGCTTAAGGGAGGATATTCAGGAAGAGACCAGTTGCAGCACAGGGGACGTGTCTGATCTGAATGATGAAACAATAAGTCAGGGAGGAGACATTTGTGAAAGAAGCTGTTCTGCCTACTCTATGGACGAACTGCAAACAGAGACTTCAATGAGCAGTACATCAGGTCCACACTCACATGGCGAGATTTCTGAAGATGATGATAAAGATTCTATCACTGAAGAGAGTGAAGGTGAGCCAGTTATGAAGAAGCACTGTATCATGGAATCTAAAGCCAGTTTCGAACAGCCTTCAACAGACTCCTTAATCTCTACTCAGTCCCTTTCTAAATACATTGCCAGTGATATAAAGGTGTTTTGCTCTTCTCCTGACCTTAGCCAAAGTGAGAACCCTTACACTGCAGAATGTTGTAACCAGTGCCCCAGCAATGATGGTGAGAGTCATGCAGAAGGGGACGGATCTTGGAGTTTGACAAGTCATGGCCTGCTCACTGAGTTACCACCAATTCCTCTTCCAGAGGAACCAGCTACTGACAGGGAGCTATCCAGTGAGGTCCGCACTATCCCGATTCTGGATCCTCCCCCTGGCTTTCAGGACAGCAGTTCTGATGACGAATTTTTCGATGCAGCTGAAAAATTTACTGATGTAGAACGTCCAGTTGACATCAAGTTCAGTGGAACTGGAGCAGGTTGGTCTGACTGATGACAATCAGGTTTCCATTTACTTTTGCTTACTCCACATGGCAAGTTAATATGAAATCCAAAGTATATTCGAACATATTTTAAAAAATAATTAAGAATTATAATTAACTAGAATATTTTCTGTGTTTATTTTGATTCACTTATTACATATTACCAATGCATCTTTATGTACTTGACTGGTAATGACACATGAGGGACATGTACTGAGTTTCAGTGATGTGAAGGATCTGAATTAAACAGAAAAAGATGAAATTATTGAAGCTTCCCAAGTTAAAAGCTGCATCTTGAGAAGTGAAATCAATTTAGACCTACTATTGCACTCATTTGGAAAAGTCAATTTCAAGAAATTGACATATCTGAGAATTGCAAAGCTTCTAATTTAGTGATGATTAGTCCCTGGTAAAGTCATTCAATTTCAAAAGGAATAAACAGACATTGTAATTTAAAAAGATTATACTTTACAAAAAATAAATCAAAATTCCTAACTTGTAACAGAAATCTTTAAATCAAAAGATGGTTGACTGTGAACCCATAACTGAAGTCAATTACTTGTTCAGTTCTCTGGGATGGGAATTGAACTCCTTACCTTTCAACACAGCAGCAACAATACTATGGCTGAGCCAAGGTAAACCCTTCGCTTTGGTCTTGTGCTTCAGGTTTGTGAATTCAAAACCCGTAAAGTTGTGAAGTTGCATAACAGACATTGAGATAAAGGATCCACAAATAGTCCTTGATTTTAACAATGAGTGTGAATAGAACCTCCCACAGGGATGTCAGCATTAGACCCAGGAAATTATGTACACAGTCTGCTCCCTGAAACCAGGTGATACCATGACCAGCAGATGGGAGCAGAAAATTGGCAAGGAACCCTTAGTCAGCTCTGCCTACTCCCTCATTCACATTGTGGCTGGCCGAGGGAGCTCAAATTGTGTCCATTAATTCACCCAAATAAAGGTAAAATACTGCAGATGCTGCAAATCTGAAATAGAAACAGGAAGTGCTGGAGAAGTGCAACAGGTCTGGCAGCATCTGAGGAGAGAGAAATAGAGTTAATATTTTGAACCTGAAATGACTCTTCTATCTCCAGTTCTGAAGAATCATATATTATAGAAACATTTAACTCTCTTTCGCTGTCCACAGATGCTGCCAGACCTGCTGAGTCTCGCCAACACTTTCTGTTTTTATTCTCTTCATTCCACACCTGTTTCAGTTAACTTTCTAGTTGTCCCTTCACTATAAACCCAATGGAGCATTCACTAATGTTTTATTCATTTGAAGTATAGAACATTTTATGATGCGGATGTTTATGGCCCATCGTGTCTAAGAACAATATAGCCACCTCCTAGTTTCCAGCTCTTGCAGGTTAGAGTACCTCTAATGCATATCCACACACTTCTTAAATGTGACATGGGTTTCTGTATATATCCTGTTTTCAGGCAGTAAGCACAATGCAGATTTCATCACCCTCTGGATAAAAAGAAAATTCCTCAATTCTCCTCTGTGTCGATACTATGGCTTTAAGAGGTGTACTCTGTCCATAGAATCCCTACAGTGTGGAAACAGGCCATTCGGCCCAACAAGTCCATACCACCCCTCCGAAGAGCATCCCACCCAGACCCATTCCCTATAACCCAGCATTTCCCATGTCTAATCCACCTAATTTACACACCCCTACGGGCAATTTAACATGGCCAATCCACCTAACCTGCACATCTTTGGACTGTGGGAGGAAACTGGAGCACCCACAGGAAACCCACGCAGACACGGAGAGAATGTGCAAACTCCACACAGACAGTCACCCAAGGCTTGAATCGAACCCGGGTCCCTGGTGCTGTGAGGCTGCAAGCTAACCGCTGTGCTACCGTGCCACCCTAAGATGTCCTGTTTTTTTTTTAAACGAAGAAAGGTTGAGACAGAATTGCCAATCGGTCTACTCAGATCCAATAAAGTAAACGGTTTGTGAGGCCTTAGGGTGCAGTTTTTTCAAAGTTGGAACAATAGAAGCAGCCTGAATGGGTGAGGTCAAGCTCCCACAGAACCAGAATTTTTAGTTTTGATTTTTCAATAGCAGTTGCTGGGTCTTGAACCTGGGTTTGGAAGCTGCAATACACCTCTCCTTGCTACTCTCTCTCTCTGAGTTTTCTCTTGATATTTTTCCTCCTGGACTAGAGAATTCCACATGAGACAATCTTTTTTTTACTGAATTTGCCTTTGACAAAGGTGTGTTTATAGGATATTACTATATTGGAAAGGTTACTGTATTGTAGCTAAATAATGGATTATTCTGTTAAATTTTCCAATAGATTTAAGTTATTTGAATTTCTTCTTTCTTTTGTTGTATTTTAACTATATTGTACGAATAAAGAGTGTTTGCTTCAAGACTAGTAGTTTGACCAATCAAATTGCATCTGGAATGCAATGCCTAGCACTTGCCTTTAAAATAAGAAAAGGTTAGGGTATAGGCTATCTTCTTAATATATTTTGAGGGGGTTTGGTCTGGTCTATCACATCTAATTCTTCTACCAATCGCTTTAAATCTGCGACCCCTTGATTATTGATTACTCTGCCAATGGAAAATGTTCCTTTTAAGTTCATTCTGTTTAGGCCCCTCATAATTTTACATTCCTCAGTTCAATCTTCCCCCAGTCTCTTTTGTTGCGAAGAAGACACTCAGTCTCGCTTGTCAAATCTCACCTCATAAGTGATTTTCTCAAACAATGGCAACATCCTTTCTAGTCCTTTCTGTACCCTCCAAGTTGATCTTGTTAATAACACAGAGAGGGTTCGGAGAGGACTAACAAGGATGTTGCCATGGTTAAATAATTTATGAGTAGAGATTTGATATTTAGTAAAGTATCCTGTTTAGCCTCCTTAAGAGGTCTGTAGACAACCACTTCAAAGTTCCCTGTTGCTCTACTCTTACTATTAATTGTGTATTCCTTTGTTTTAATTTGCCTTCCTCATAAGCATCACCTCACACTTTTTTGATTGTAATTCTTATTGCCCCTTTTTTGGCCAACTGTCCAGTGATTGATAGTTTCCTGTGGTCTACAACTTTACTCCTCGTTATCAATCACACAACCAATTATTTTTTTGTAAAATTCTTTCTCCAAATTAAAACCTTTCACTCTTAGCCTATCTTTGTCCTTTTCCAGACCAATTGAATGAAATCATGGTCACTGTTATGGAAATACACTCCCTGCTGATGCTTCTTCGATCTGCCTTGCTTAATTTCCAAAAACTTAAGTGCAGAACTGCCCTTGATCAAACAAAAGGGGATAAGAATAGCTATTACCTATTGGAGAGCCAGTTTGACTTTGATGGTGGGAAAGCTTTTCGAAATGATAAGCTGAGACAAAATTAACAGTACTTTGATAAGTGTGAATTAATTATGGAAAGCCAGCATTAATTTAAGGTCATAGAGATATACAGCATGGAAACAGATCCTTCGGTCCAACTTGTCCATGCCAACCAGATATCCTAAATTAATCTAGTCCCATTTGCCAGTATTTGGCCTATATCCCTTCAAACACTTCCTATTCATACACCCATCCAGATGCCTTTTAAATGTTGCAATTGTACCAGCCTCCACCACTTCCTCTGGCAGTTCATTTCATACACGGACCACCCTCTGCATGAAAAAGTTGCTCCTTTGGTCCCTTTCAAATCTTTCCCCTTTCATCTGAAACCTATGCCCTCTAGTTTTGGACTCTGCTACACTGGGGAAAAGACCCTGTTTATTCACATTATCCTTGCCCCTAATGATTTTACAAACTTCTATAACGTCACCCCTCAGCCTCCAACACTCCAGGGAAAATATCCCCAGCCTATTCAGCCTGTTTAAAGGCAGATAGTTTTTACATAACTTGTATATGATTCTTTTGGATGATGCAATAAAGAGGGTTGTTAAGGATAATGCAGTTAATGTGATGTATATAAAGTATTTGATAAGATATCACGAAATAATTTTGCCACCAAATTAGAAAAAAATGAAGTGTCTGAGCGACTGTAAGTGGGTAGTAGTGATAGTAGGAACTGCAGATGCTGGAGAATCCGGGACAACAAGGTGCAGGGCTGGATGAACACAGCAGGCCAAGCAGCATCATAGGAGCAGAGAGGCTGACGTTTCGGGCCTAGACCCTTTGCTTGTTTTTGGACTCAGTGGGGGAAGATATTCAGTGCGGTTTCCCCATGGTTCAAAAATAGGATCACTGCTTTTCTTGATAAATTTTAATGATTTAGACTTCAATGTAGGCTTTAAGAGGATATGGAATTGCTGGTGAAATGGAAAGGCATGTGGTGGATGAAATTTAATGTATTCGGTGAATTTTACACAGTGAGTAGCTCCGATCCAGAATGTGTTACCTGAAGGTGTGGTGGAAGTAGATTTAATCATGGTTTTCAAAAGAAAGGAAAGATTTACAAGATTGTTTCCAGGGATGAGGGATTAAAATTTCATCAGTAAGTTGTAGAAGTTCACCTTTGAGAAGTAATGTTGAAAGGATGAGCGATCTAGACGGAGCAGATACAGAGAAATCAGTGAAGGAATGGAGATCCAGAGGACTCTAATTTAAAGTGATTGACAAGAGAATAAAAGAGGACATAGAAAAATCTTTCTATGCAGTGAGTGGAGGGAGATTCAGTCATGTCTTTGAAAAGAAAGTTGATAGTAAACAGGAGAGTAATAGTAGTAGTCCATCAGTGAATAGGGTCCATGCAGAGAAATACAAAGATAAAAGAAGCAAAGGTTATTTACTTAAATGAACAAGCATTCATGATGAGATAGATGAACAAGTTGCACAAACAGAATTAAATGAGTTTGATTTTATTGCCATTATAAAGACAAGATATCCTAGGTTGGGAAATAAATATTACAGGGTATAAAACCTGTCAAAAAGGCAGTCAAAGTGGAAAAGAAGGAGGACTATCACAGAAAGTAAAGGACAATATAAGGACTGGGGTGAGAAAGGATCTTGGCTATGAAGATCGGGTAATAGAATTGATTCAAGTGGAGAAAAGAAATGATAAGGGGAGAAAAGGGTTGATGAGAATAATTTGTAGTCCCCTACCAGTGGTTATATTGTTATATTCAGCATTAAGTAATAAAGGGTGGAGTTTGCAGCAAATTGGGAAGAACTTTAATCTCTAAATATGCTATTCAATTTCAATTGGCAAAGGTAGCCTTGAATTTGAGTTTGCAGAATGTTATCACAATAGTTTCTTGCAATAATAGATTGTGGAATTGTTAAATGATTAAAATATCTTAGATGTAATATCGCCTAAAGAGGTGAAGTTAATTAGTAATTCCTAGTAAAAGATTATCTGCAAAAATACGATCATAATAAAATTGAATTCCATATTAAGACTAAAACAGATGTACTTCATTCCCAAAAAGTACCTTAGATTTAATCTTTATAAAATTAAAGGAAGAGGCTTATAAGGTTATAAAGAATAGTAGAAAGCCTGAGAATTGGGACTGTTTAAAAAAAAAACTGGTAATCAAAAGTTTGTAAAAAGTGTAAAAAGAATAAGAGAATGAACTAACCAGGAATGTAAACGTAAATTGGAAAAGTTTTTATATTTATGCAGAAAGGAGAAGGGTAGCTAAAGTAAACGTTGGTCCCTTGGATTGAGGAGACAGGAGCAATTATAATTTGTGCCCACCTTCACAGTAGAATGTACAAATGTATATCAAAAATAGTGATTAACCAAGGAACTAACAAGGGTGAGCAATGTACAAGTGATTAGTATCAGTGGAGGAAAAGTATTAGAGAAATCTAAGGACTAAGAGCTAACAAATCCCAAGCTCTGATGACCTACATCTGAGGGTTCTAAAAGAGGCAGATGCAGAGAAAGTGGATGCAATTGTTATGATTTTGCAGAATTCCATTTTAATAAAAACACTCCAGCATATTAGTAGTTAGCAAATGTAACATTGATCTTCAAGAACAACAGTGGCTGGGAAAATGTTGGAAACCATCATTTAGGAGGTCTTAGTAATGCACTTAGAATGATGTAAAGGGATAAGACGGCATCAACATGGTTTTGTGAAAAGGAAATTGTTTAATTAGTTTATTAAAGCTTTTTGAGGATATGATTACTACTATCCATTTTATTCCAGGAGCTGTGTGAATACAAAATTCGTTGAGTGATGGGAAACTGAGAGGAATGGTTAATGGGTATTTTTGACTAAAGTAAGGTTTGCAGTGGAGTTCCCCTGTGGTTGATACTGGGGTCCTTACATAAATGATCTAGATTTTTGTTTGCAGGAGACAGTTTCAAAGCTTGCTGATGACACAAAATTTGGAAGAATTGTAAACATGAGAGGATGGTATATAGAACTCCAAAAAACACTGACAAGTTGGTGGAGTTGGCAGTAGGGACAGATAAGATCAATGTGGAGAAATGTGGGTGATGCATTTTAATAGGCAAGAGATAGGCAGACTATATAAGATGGTTGTGGGAGCAGAAAGAGACAGTTGTACGACTGCATAATTCTTTAATAGTGCCATAACAAGTAAAAAGAGCTGTTAATAAAACATACAGTATTCTGGATTTCATTAGTAGGGACATGAGCACAAGAGCAGGGGGGTTATTCTGAACCTATGTAGGACACTGGTTATATCTCAGCTGGAGGATAGTGTACAATTTTGGCCACCACCCATTTGAAAGGATACAAATGTTTGGAGAGAGTCCAGAAAGGTTTACGGGAATAGTTTCAGAAATGAGAAATTTCAGTTATGAAGATAGATCTGAGAGGTTGGGACTATTTTGCTGGAGAGGAGAAAGCTGATGGGTGATTTGAAAGATGTTTTGGAAATTGTGAGTAGTCTGTACAGAGTAAATAGGGCGAAACTGTTACTGCTTGTAAAAGGATTGAGAACCAGAGGTAGCAGGAACTGCAGATGCTGGAGAATCTGAGATAACAAGGTGTAGAGCTGGATGAACACAGCAGGCCAAGCAGCATCAGAGGAGCAGGAAAGCTGACCTTTCGGGCCTAGACTCTTCTTCAGAAATGGGGGAGGGGAAGGGGATTCTGAAATAAATAGGGAGAGAGGGGGAGGCGGATAGAAGATGGATAGAGGAGAAGATAGGCGGAGAGGAGACAAACAGCTCAAAGAGGCGGGAATGGAGCCAGTAAAGGTGAGTGTAGGTGGGGAGTTAGGGAGGGGATAGGTCAGTCCAGGGAGGACGGACAGGTCAAGGGGGCGGGATGAGGCTAGTAAGTAGGAGATGGGGGTGGGGCTTGAGGTGGGAGGAGGAGATAGTTGGGAGGAAGGACATGTTAGGGAGGCGTGGACAAGCTGGGCTAGTTTTGAGAAGCAGTAGGGGGAGGGGAGATTTTGAAGCTTGTGAAGTCCACATTGATACCATTGGACTGCAGGGTTCCCAAGCGAAATATGTGATGCTGTTCCTGCAACCTTCGGGTGACATCATTGTGGCACTGCAGGAGACCCAGCATGGACATGGAGGGGGAGTTGAAATGGTTCGCGACTGGGAGGTGCAGTTGTTTGTTGCGAACCGAGCATAGATGTTCCACAAAGCGGTCCCCAAGCCTCCGCTTGGTTTCCCCGATGTAGAGGAGGCCACAACGGGAACAGTGGATACAGTATACCACATTAGCAGATGTGCAGATGAATATCTGCTTGATGTGGAAAGTCTACTTGGGGCCTGGGATGGGGGTGAAGTGCCATATCCTCAGGACACTGGTGGTTTGCTCCATGTCTCTCCTAGCTGCAACATAGCTTTCATTGAAGAGACACAAGTGACATGTTGTTGAGTAGCTGAAGTTGTCATTAACCATGTAACTTTCCTTGTTGCCAAGCAGGGAAACCCTAGTTCAGTCTAGTGTCTTAAAGAGAGCTGAAACTGTGGACTAATGCAAGATGAAAGCGTTGTAACTATAGACAGGATAGCAGCATGATATTCTAGTTATGGTTGCAAAAGAAGTATACATTTGTGGTTTTGGTACATCTCCCCATTGCAATGCAGTGCTGGCAAGGGCACAGTCATCTAAACAATGAACCCTGCCCCATTGAAGAACTCACTTATAAAAATTCAACCTAAGGAGTCTCTAGAATCACTGGGATAAATCATTTCAAGCAGCAAAGCTAAGGATAATAAAGCTAGGATAGTAAAGATATTTGTCTCAAACACATTATAAAATAGAAAGCAATATAGAAACTTGAGGTTTTGCTCCTTATCCATTATTCAAATCAATTTTATTTAAGATAGGACAGTTCCTCTTTGTACAGCTCTATTGGTATATTCAAGAATGTATTTCAAATATACGTTGAAAATCAATTAGCAATGAAGGGCCAGTGATTATACATACCTACTAAGAGTTGTGTAGAAGAAAGTCAAACTGCTCTGTTAACAAGCAGGATAATCGTTGTTGTTTGATATTTGCAGAAAGGATAAACAATATGTCAACTTTTTTTTTTGGTTTCTTGGCAGATTTGGAAACTGACAATATTAAGGGGATTGAAATGAAGCAAAATATGCAGATAAGTCAAAGTCTTTATGACACTGGACTGGACATCAAATCTGCTGAATGCATCAAAGGTAAAACAGAAGAAACAAAATACACAACTACAGGAAAAATACCTTTTACATCCAATGACGTACGTGATGTAAAAGCTGTTCAATCACAGTGTCATTCAAGCAAAGCTGGAGATCATGTGTGTTGTTATGAAAAGGAACATCTTATAACAAAAATGCAGCAATTGACAACACTTTGTTCTTTGACAAGTATGGAGAATGAACCAGCCTTGTTGGAAACTAAGCCTATTGGTCCATTAAAGTCCATTTCCACCTGTGCCAATAAAAAGGTCCCATCAGATTTAATGGAGATGGAGCCAGATACCATGGAAACAAAATCAGTCACAGAAGCAATACCTGTCATTACTACAGTCTCAGCTAGACGTTACCCATGTGATTCAGACATGAGAGAGGGCTGTCCTCCTTATACAGAGAATAAAGCAGAAGAAAGCACAGACAGACCTTCTCTTAAAGCAAAGCTGCGTGGAGCTGATTGCTGCGATATGGAGGAGTGTTCAAGCCCTTCAGGTGTACCTTCGGGTGTAATCCTAGAGTTTGGACAAGCATACTCGCAGAATCTAACAGAAGATAAGATGTATAATGTTACCACTGTGTCTTGCACTGATGAACAACAAACCATGAACACAATTAGCATGAAAGACAAGGAGCATGATAAAGCAATTGTCAAAAACAATACAGTCCTACAAATGGGAGATAAGCACACTCAGTCGGTGGACATGGGTCAAAGTGGAACTGCATTCAGGCAAACTTTATGTCAGGTAAACTCCAAGGAGAATATGTTCAACTCCAAAGAAGTGGTTAACAATGGTCAAAGAGGAGGATCATGTTACCAAAATGATGATGGCAGTATAACTTCACAGATATATTCTGTGATGTCCAGAGGAGATCAGACAGTATTCTCAGAAAACTCAGTACTGGAAGAGGAGATCTCCAGCAGGAGGAACTCATCTGAGACAGGCAAAGAAAGCAAAGATGCTTACTCGTTTGACATATCCAGGCTACTCTTGAATTTAAACCGAGTCTCCTTTAAGACATTTGGCATGGTTAAACATTTGGGATCACCACACTTAGAAACAAAGATGGAAACTTGCTCAGCGGGGTCTCTAAGCATTTCTGAATGTAAAATGGAGCCTGCAGAAGACAGCTCGAAAGATTACTTATCAAAAACAGAACAGAACCCTAACCAGACTGAGTCAAGAGTGTCTCCCACACTAGCAAATGTAAATGAGATCAGTACACCGATACTTTGCCCAGAAGGTAAAAACCTTCCTCGGGAAATACCTTCACTGTCAAATACATCAAGCCCGCTTTGTGAAGTAGACAGCTCGATCATTCAGAAATCCACAAATGCAACTCAGCAAAGTGAATGTCTCTCCATCAAATGTCTACAACAAATAAAATATAAAAGTAGTTTGAATGTTGACTCCACTGTTTCAGCTGTCCTTACAACTGACATGGATAAGGAAATAGATGAACAGCTCCCAAAGGGTGGCAAGGATATGTGTAGCTGTCAGATAGTATATGGGAACTGTTTTAGAGCACAGGGCACTGATGCTAATGACGAAAACAAAGATGTAGCCTATTCCACACAGCAGTGTTCACCAAAGACCACCCCACCTGATTCAGGAAGCCACTTGTCTCAATACCTCACTACATTTACTGGACAAAGTGAGAAAACTGTGCTTACCAATTGCTCCTTTGATTTTCCTAAAACTGATCTTACACCAATGCTTGAAAGCTCCATTCTGTCACATTTCAAGGATAAAAAATACAGCATGCCAAATGGATTCAGGCTGATACAGAACGATATCATGGAGCTGCTCAACATGCTGAAAGAATTCCCCAGAGAAAGCCACGTAGAGGAAGAATGTGCAATACTTACTTCATCAACACAGCAGAAATTATATACTGAAAGTGGAAAGCTGACGTCTGCTTGCCAGAAGGGCATCAAAGTAGACCAGGCCCCTGTGGAGATGCTCCTGGGAGTTTCTGAAAGTTTCCAGGCCCTCGTACAGCTAACAGCAACATGTCTCCAGTTCACGACCTGCATGCATTGTGCAGAACGTCATGCAGAAGTGGTCAATAGCTTAACAGAGGTTTTTATGACTTACAAAACCTTTGTGCAAATCTCTGAGGATGCATGCAGCAGGAAGTCTGATGATTTAAACATGAAACTCCTGGCTCAGCAGTGTGCTGCACTGACCGCTGGGGTTTTCTGCCTGACACAACCATTCAAGTGATTCAGCTCTGAAATGGAATACAGTGTTTGTAAAGTTTGGAACATGAGAGAATACAATTAGAAAAATCTAAAAAAGATCTAGAATTGTGTGGCAAGTACGTGACAACGCACCGAATTATCTCCTGGACGAAAATGTGTACTACAGTATGACACATTGACTGGCATTGGCCACATGACTAATAACGATCAGAACTGATGCAAGACACATCTTGTTTTGTGGTAACATATTACACTGCAGCTTGTTCAGACTTCCGTATGCATCATATAGAGAGTATTTCAATGCTGCCCTTTAGCCTGGAGCTGAGGTCTGAATTCATCCCATTGGCTGTTGGGATCTGAAGGTTTCAAGGGCTTTCCATTGAGTTTGTACAGGGGTCCAGGTCATGCTACAAAATTCTTTAGCATTTGATATGAGTTGACACCAAATTAGCAATCTCACCCAGAGGGGCCCAGTTGATAGCTCTCATCTAAATCAAAATGTTATGTCTGCCCATATGTGTGTATGTGCATGACTGCATATGTGCATACGTGTATGTATGTAGGCAGTTTGTGTGTGTGTGTGTGTGTGTGTGTGTGTGTGCGCGCGCGCTGAGGTGAGGGGTGCTGTTTTGAGACTTGATAAAGTTGGTAGTGGAAAATAGTAGAAATATAAGAATTGTTTCTTGGCATCTATCTCACGTTCTGTATGTTTGGATGCATTTGGTATCAGCACTAGATGCAGAATGTTCCAATCTTTAATTTTGACATTGTTTGTCTCAATAGAAAGATATATGGTATTAAAGGATCCTATTTCCATGTTGCAGTGTTAAACAGTGAACATTGGATTTCCACAGAATATCTGGAGACACGTTACATTATCTATCACTTGCTAGGGTGTTCTAGAAAAGTTTTCTCAGTTAGTTGATATATTTGTGTGATTTCTATCTCAATAGAAAGACTCTAAAGTCCTTGGTCATTTTAGGATGCAGAGATTAAACAGACAATGCTGAGAAAGACCATTAGTTATCTCAGTGGTTTATAAAAACAGAAAAGCTTAAGCTATCATCTCATCAATTCCTTTGACATGCCAATGTTGATAGAAGCCATTATTTGTCATTGACTAGACTGTAAAAATTTTAAGTTGCTCTGCAGTTTCTTCATAGTCTGGGACTAACTCCTTGATGCACAGCACTCAAAGAGCTCCTTATGATACATTATATTGAAGCTGACAGTTGCCTGTCGTAAAACTAAGGTGTTGAAAATTGTAGGTCGCAACTGCTGAGCCTACAATCTCCCTACAATTATCAGTCCCTGGATGGGGAGTGTTGGTTTAAGGAATCATTTTTGTGATAATGGATGCCCAAGACACCTTTTAATTAGAGAATTTTCCTTGTTTTTTCCTTCAATGGTTCAAAACTCCTGCAATCTTGAATTAAAGGAAACAAAGTCTATACTTTCACAGAAGCACATTGTTGTATGCACAGAGAATGTCATATTTTCAAACATTGTATTTTCTCTTTCAGCTTTAATTCACATGAACTGATCTTTGCTCCTACAAGCTGAAAGTTGCATTCCTTCAGTGATCTATAACTGCAGAGTTGCATAATCCAAGGATTAATAGTGTCCTGCTCTCAGTTATTTCCTCACTAATCATTGATGGTCAATTTCCATGGGGTTGAGAGGAAGAGAGAGTCCCACATGTAGTTAGAGAGCCATATTCACTCCAGAAAATTACCGAAAATATTGCTTCTGCTATTGGAGGATTTCTGTGGTGGTTCCATTGATATTTATGGCAAACAAGTATGTTAATCCCCTGTATGAGTAACCCAATTGGCTCATGATATTACAATAGCAAGAAATTCCGCAATGTGTGATTTTAAAACTCAACTTAGCCTTTATAACCTAACAAGGGTGGGGGAGTTCACAACAAGGGGGCATATTTTTGAGGTGAGAGGAGAAAGATTTAAAACAGATTTGACGGGCAACTTTTTCACACAGAGGGTGGTTCATATGGGGAATGAACTGCCAGAGGAAGTGGTAGATGCAGGTACAGTTACAACATTTGAAAGATATTTGGACAGGTACATGATAGAGAGATATGGGCCAAATGCAGACAAGTGGGACTCGTTTAATTTAAGAAACTCAGACGAGTTGGACCGAAGGGTCTGTTTCCATGTTGTATCAAACTGTGACTCTAAATTAACATTTATTTATTATTATTAAATAGAGCTGTGATATTAGTCATAATCTATGGGGACCATAGCACTCTGTTACAGACAGAGACGTCTATGTGGTTATACAGTTTGAAGGGCACCTTTCTGCATTAAGCATAGGTACAGCAAAAATTCAATCCCTCATATGCAATTGCAACCAGCACAGAATTGAACCTCCATTGTTCATATTATTATACTGCACATGCTAGTCATCTAGCCACGTAAGCAAACCAACCCTCAGACAGAGATATGAAGGATATCAATATGATGTTTATAAGGGACAAGTAATAAAATAATCCTTTTAGTTTACTTTATTTATGAGTATGAATTCAATATGTCATTCACAGGTTTCTACACAAGCGGAGCAGTTAGTGAAATTGTAGTAGGCAATGACTATGGCCACACAATTAGTTCATTCAGATTGACTGGAAAGACTGGTTACATTGATCAACCAATTAGTACGTTAAATGGGTGAATCAAATCAGCCTAGATTGAAAAACATTTTCTGTTACTTAAGTTAAAAAGGAAAGAGGAAACACACAATTTTATGAGAAAACTAGTATATATTTTTGTGATGTCAGAAATCTGTCTTTGTATGATTCATTTCAACAAATTGCTCTCCATTCGTCAGCTTCTCTCTTTCCTCTCCCAGGAAGTATGGGTTCATAGAATCAGACAGTACAGAAGAGGTCTTATGGTCCATCAAGTCTGTGCTGCCAAAGCTACACTAAATCTACACAATTCCCATAGCTTTGAATGTTATGATATTTCAAGTGCTCATCCGAATACTTTATAAAGATTGTGAGGCTCATATTGAGGTGGAGTTCCATTGACTAGTGCACAGTTTTGTCATGTGTGGAGAGAATGAGTGACAGGAAGCTATCCTGGCCATGGGACCATCTCCATCATACTTCCTACATCTGACATTGCACCATCGTTAGCTGTGTGGTTGGGATTGGAGGGCACTGAGTAATAATCAAAATATGAACCTCAACCATTCTGTATTCCTTAGCTGAAGGGTTAATGGTCAACTATAAATTAAGAGGAATCCCTGACCCTGCTGATTTGTCTGTCATCTAATAATATTCATAGTCCAGGACCTTCCTGGTCTAATTATCTTAATAAATTTTCAGAAGAATTTAGACAGACATATGAACAGGCAGGGAATAGAGGGATATGGGCAATGTGCAGATGGGATTAGTTTAGAATGGCAGAGCTGTACTGGTCTGTGTGTGTACGTATGTATACTTTACACTGATTTCATCATCGAATGAACAAAACAATAACTTCATCTCAATTTTTTGAAAATTTGTGCTGAAGCGCAGATAACCATGATTTTTTTGATAGCCACAGCGCTGTCATGAACATAACAATGCAGAAGTACAACAGAAAGGGCCTCAGTCCTATATTATCATTTTATTAAACTATCTGAGCACTAGAAGGGCAGAGTACTCTCATATCTGATGACTGTGTTTTCACCAGCGGGGGAGCCAACTAGAATCCAAGGATAGTAGTTTCAGACATTTTGACCATTTCAAATACAGTCCATTCTGGATTCAGATGTGCAATATTGCTCTTTATACAGCTCAGGGTGACACTAAATTAACAACATCAAATAACATTCATTAGAAATATCTTAGTTTTCATCTACCTGTCCGATTTCCTCCATTGTCTCAGTTCTAATTATTTCTGTAACCTTGTTTATCCCTCTACCCCTCCGAGAGTTCTGCATTTCTCTGATTCTGGTCTCTGTTGTGTTTCTGGCTTTGATGGTTGTGCATTTAGCAATCTAAACACTAAGGTGTAGAATTCCCTCTCTAAACTTCTCTATTTTTCATTCACCTTAACTTATCTCTTTGACAAACCCTTAGTCGCCTGTATCTGTTCTGAACTCTACTTCTCTGATTAAATACCAACTTTTGTCTCATCATGCTCCTATGAACTGCCTGGAGCAGTTCTACTATATTCAAGATGCAATATAACTGTAAATGATTGTTATTACTGTAGTCAGTGTGGAAAATAGGAAATGTCCCATTGATATAGTATGATTTTTCAAGGTGGAATTAAAGCATTAGAATAAGAAGTTTTATTTGTGTAATGTCTTTAATGAAATAAGACATCCAAGATGTTGCACAGGTACATTATAAAAGAAAATGTGATACAGAATCACATAAGGAGATATTGGGTCTGATGAGATAGGTTTTTAAGAGCATCTAAAAGGAGGAGAATGTGTTCAACTATGGCTAGTCCAGATGGATGAGGAGGGAAAAAAAAAATATTTTTCACAGTCAGACAGAATGTTATTTTTAACATTGATAAGGGTCATTTCAGTACTGTAGTAGGGTGGAAAGTTGATTGGAGGGATTCAAAAACACATGCAGTTTTTTTGCCACAACATAGGGGTTGCGAAAATTCTCAAACATCAGCAGTTCCACTCCTAAACCCGACACTTTCGATTTTCATGAGACACGGCTCAAGCTTCATCTATTTCTGAGTCACTGGCCATTTAAATGATCTGGATCTATTGGAATCCCAATTTGTTATCTCCACTGTCAGGAAGCCAGGATATGCAGAGCAGACCAGGAGTTTTTCAGTGAACTTATTTAGGACAGCTCGGAAAGCAGAGTACCCCTGAAGATTTTATCTTAGGAGACCATGGGAGAGGGCGGTCAGATTATCTTGGAGGGGGTATCAGATGCCCTTGGGATGGATGGGTCAGGTAACCCCATACGATTTTAAAAGCGGGCAAGAATTATCAGATCTATCAAGGGATTACGTTTTCTTGACTCATTCATGTGATGTATACTAG